CAACCGAGTTAGTGGATAATTCGACTGTTCACGTTCACCTTCAGGTACTAGAAGCTTCTCGTAGTTTTTAGTACTCTAATAGTAAAGATGACTGCAGATTTAGAGTTATCACATATTTCATTGAGAGCATACGAAATTACAAGCTCAAATCTGGCCTTGAAATTCTTGGTCACCGTGTGTCATAAAATAAGAAACAGGAGAAGTAGAACTGCGGAGTGAGTTCGAGGGGAAAAGAAAAACTAATCGTTCTACGAATTTCGTTTTCAATCATCCATAAAACCTATATTCTGACAATACAACAAAATTTAAAAACATGAAACACCACTTTGCGAATTCTCGGGCAAAACAATATTTGCTAAATGACACAACGGCGATGCGAACTGATTTAATAATAATTTTTCTCCGAACGGTTGTTAAAATTGATAGCAAAAAATGTTACGACCACGGCAGGATTCGAACCTACAATCTTCTGCTCCGTAGGCAGACGCGTTATCCATTGCGCCACGCGGCCGGTGATCAATGGCAGTTGCGCGTTCTATTCATTCTTTTGTGATTTTTAGTTTTTCTCAGAATTGGAAGACTCGAGGGAGAAAGCTTAGATTGATGACCTCAAATGTAAATCTAGTTCCAATACGATATGGTATTAAATCTTTTGTTTTGTGCATCTGCCTGGTAATTATGAGAAGTCATCAATTGAAATGTAATGTAATCGTTTTTCTTTTTTTCTTTTATTTATAGAAATTTGTCCCTTCGTAGCGCTTACAAATGATCAACGCTTTGTAATCCAGCAACTCTTCTTCTCTTTCAAACATGAAAGTAATTAGGAAAACTAGTCTATTCAAGCTATTTAGGCTCATTCTTTTGGTACTATTCACGCGGTGATTTAATTTCATTCATTTCATTCTCCTAAACTTACACTTGTTTTTCATTTTGCACAAATACCGTATGATACGAGAAAGTTTGAAAAGAAAGAAAAAACAGCCATTACGAGCGTTTTCAAGAAAATTTTGTTTGTGATGAAGTCTTGAAACATTTGCTCTTAATAAGAATAGTCGCTCAGATCTATATAAGAAGTTGTTTAAATTTCAATTGGTGCTTGAAACGTCAAGAAGCCAAATGTTGTTGCCACGTCTTCTTTCATTTCACCATTTTCTTCTCTAATTTCATCGCGGTGTCTTCATATCAGTTCGAAAAATAGTTTTGCGAAATATCACAGAATAATCTCTCGTGTTTTCCATTCAGGAAGCTTTCTATTTGACGAGGGTGAAATTGGGAAACATTGTTAAAAAAACGTTGTTTGCAATTAGCTTTGAACAAATTTTTAGAAAAAAATGTTAAGCTAGAATGGCAGGAAGCTTTATCCATGTATGACGTCGATTCCACAAACTGGAAACAGTTTGTGAAAATAAAAACACTTTCACAGAATCACATCAGATGAAAATTCTTGACAATTTCAAGAATACTCGAGATTTTTCATTTGTTTGTTACCGTAACCTTCCTGAAATTGATGAGCTTAAAGTGATTCATCATTGCTTCTCGTATAAGCTTCAACTTCCGTTTGGTGAATATTCGAAAACCCTAGACGTTATAAGCTCTCAAAGCAACAATAGGTGATCCCAAAGTTCCTGTTATTCTCGAGGAAGGGCATAAAACCAATCCTTCCATATAAACTTATGGAAAGCTCGATAGAGCTGCTGTTCGCACTATTTGACCTTATAAGGAGGTTCTTTCATGTAATATTTCATTAAAATATATCAAATTACAGACTTTTGAGCTCACAAGAAATCATAAGAGAGAGGAAAAGAGCCAAGTTTAAGTCTGTCTTAGATTTCGTCTATAGAACGAAGGCTACACTCCTACAGTAATCTTTAGAAAGAAAGCTCGAGTTGGATGCGCATAAGGAATATCGTTTATTTGAAAAAATCTTTTTTTTTTGTATAAAATTAACATAATACATATGGAAATCAAAATGTAGCAGAAGAAAAGAAGAAAGTGCAAAAGATTTCAAATCACACGGCTTAATAAATAAAAATAAATACTGAGATGGATGAGAAAGATAAGAAACTACAAGTATCTTTCACCGTTCTGTTAACATTTGGAATGTAAGTGATGTCAGAACGATTCACGAAAGAAACAATTGAAAAACTATAAAATAATCTGAGATCAACTATAATCAAATGAAGTTACTTCCTTATAATAAGAAGAATTAAAGAGATCATTCTTATAGACATTTGCTTCTTTTTTCATTATTTGGTCCCCATCGTTCATTTAATAAGATCAGTTTACTATCAAACGTTAGTAACGAATGAATTTTGTTGGATCAAGAAAGACATACAAATTGTATGAAAAAATCAAGAGAATCTCAACCAATGACATACACAAACTATTTGAGTCTCAGAAATATTGTTCAACTTAGTGAGAGTTTATAGATAAAAAGGCTATGAAGATCTCTGCGTGACCGGCTTTTTACATCGGCAGATGGTCAAAGCAGGTGGTCATTCGCTACTTTGCATACCATGGCGGTCAACTGTACACAATCTCTCTTCACTCATCCACACATTGTAAGATACAGACAAAAATTGTTATTAAAAATCGCAAATCTCTTTTGTACTCAAAAAAAGTTGGAAAACCGAGAGATGGAGAAGCAACCGTTTGTCTGTATGGAATTGCATTGAATTGACCATCATTCGTATTGAATATGAATGTTCACGCGGAACACATTTGCTACGTGGACAACGTGGGAGACATATTCGAAAACGTTCATCGTAGTACAAAAGAAGTTTCTCAAGTAGTAGTTAGGGTGAAATGTTAACTACTTCAGAATATTCAAATGTGTGTTACGCTACGATCCTTTTTCGTCAATGAGATTGTACGACAGATGTTATTTCTTTATCTGCGACATCTCTCTGCAAAACTATACTATTTCACATCTAATAGGTCGTGTAACAATGTGTGGATGAGATAGTCAGAAAAGTTCTTTGAGATACTTGTAAAACTCAAAAGAAAAAGAAGAGAACATGCAAAGTAGTTATCGAATGATGAGTAGCAGATGTTATTTAAGACTTCGAATTGAATAAAAGAAAAACACAATAAACAGTAAGGATCTAAGAACGAACAAATTTTTGTTTTCTCAACAAACCCTTGCTTTTCTAACATACACACTCTTCTCTCTCTTCTCATCTCTGTCATTCTCTCTCTCTCTCTCTCTCTCTCTCTCTCTCTCTCTCTCTCTCTCTCAAATCTATCCTCTAAGTAAGATTCTCTTTTTTTTCTATAAATTAATAATTTTTCTATCCTTGAATTGTTTTTTGTTTCAACTCATTGAGGATATGAAGCAATCAAACCCGTCATATTCAAAACTACTCAATATGGTAACATCTGCAGAAGCTTTTAATTGAATTGTCTGATCAGACTTCCAGCTGAGACTCTAGTCTGAGAATGAGCGAAGAAGTATACTCATGTCTATAAGATATTCAAAAAAGTTATTAAACTTGGAAACCAAACAACATATAAAGAAGTAACTTCAAATCTATTTCAAATAGACTTTTCTTTTTACAAATTCTCTACTAGCTATCACCAAGACGTCATGATGATGATTATTATAAAACTTATTTAACGAAGAAGCTGCTTAGAGATAAAATGAGATGGAAGAACGGATTTTGGAAATCACAGAACCGTTCGTCCGGCATTCTTCCTTTTTGGGAGAATGAAGTAAAGAATTCGTATGCATCAGCTGCATTTTTACCAAGTTCAAACAAGAAAAAACCGGACAAGCCACTCTGGACTGCTTCTGGACCCGTAACTATCCAAGATCTTTGGGAAAACAATAAAGTAATGAGAAATGAAGAAAAGTAAAGCTTATTCAGTGATACGGTGATGTATCTAACAGAAAGCACCTTTCTGCTGCAATTGAGCCAAGAAAAGCTGAGCCAGCATTTGCTGATTTAACATAGCTGGATATGTAGGTAGATTTGGGATACTTGCAGCAGCCCCCTTAGAAGGAGATAAAATCGCTTCCGTACTTGATGTTAGAATTGGCGGTAAAGCTGGTAACAGAGAGTCTGGAAATCCGAGTGTGGCCGATAGCGCAGCAGCTGACGCGGAATGTATTTCTTTGGTCGGTGAAGGAGCATCGGCGGACACTGGACTTTTAAGTTCAAGCTTGTGCTTTTCTTCCTTTTCATCTAGTAAATTATGCTGAGATGAAGCTACAGCAGCCGATTGTGTTAACTTCACCAATGCCTCCATCATACTTCTGGAAAAGTAATCCCTAATACAATGATAGGTAACAACGAACTCACTGATTGGACATAATATTATTGGTGGTAGCGGCTAGAGGCACATGGTTTTGGAACTGTTCTATACTACGTAATGTCAAATCCAATTGATTTTCATCAGTTGAGCGAACCATCGACTGTGGTGGCGATCGAGCTCTCGGTGGTGGAGCCTTCAACATATCATGTTACGATCATCTCATGAGTGAAAGAATGTTTTACCTTCAATCCTTTACGTGCTAACTTCTGCTGATAAGCAATAGGACATCCTGATAGACTGCGATGTGAAGTTCTGTTACTATTAACATGTCCTTTACCAACGCATCCAGGAGTTGTACATCTCAATACCGTATCTTGTTGCAGCGACAACACTGAAAAATTTCTTTGTTAAAGTTGTATTCTCTGTTTTTCTTTTTTTAGCCCAAGAGAAAGAAAAATCATAAACTATAAAAGGTCAACGAGAAATATATTGTGTACACGGGTGCAGGTGTCTTTAAACAAACATGAAAGAAAACCGTATTTACAGCCTATAATAAGCTTTATAGCTTTATATCGTTCTTTTCACGTAAGCCATAATGAAAAACCGGAAGTTCAAAAGATTTACGTGGATATCCCTCCACGTTCATTTCGCGTTGAAAGTTTGAGAGCAATAATTATAAACTCATTTGCATGTTGTAGACATGAGAGAGCGGTTGCATTCATCAGTTTTTCCTTATTCCCCACTCTATTATTCAGTAATTTTCGATTAACAAACGAACATCTTAGCCGTCCATACGATACACTCAGTCATTCTGTCATTCCGTTTCTATTTTACTTTCATTTCGTCAAGCAGTTTCTTAGCTTCAATCTTTCAATTCATGGACACATGTTTATAAATGATGATTCTGCTCTTGTTGGCAGACAAAATCTAAGCATATTTTAGATTTGAAAAAATGGGAATTTGAATGCAAATGTCCTGACTAATGAATGCAAAAGAAAGTAATCAATTAAATCTTCTCTTACACTCTTCTTCACATATCTTTACGAAGATAAATTACATGAAAACATACTGTGAATTGTAGTTTTATCAGGACGTCGTGGACATCCAGATAAACTTCGGTGGTGAGTGTATAGTCCTGTTTGATGACCAGATCCATCACATCCAGGTGTGGGACAAGCTAACTTTCCTTCTAAAAAGATGTAAACTAAGTAATGGAGAGCTCACTTCATTAATGCTCAATTATAACTACGCGATCATAATAATTGAATCAAAAATTAAAATAAAGAAGAATTCACTTATTATGAAGTTATACTAATCAACTTTACGTCATTTGCGTTAAAAGTACACACGCCTTCTAATATTATAATTTTGAAGAACATTAATACCTACCTCTCTTACCAGACCAATTGACTGTAGGTGACGGCATACTTGGCGTTCCCATTGGACTTGTGCTGGTCTGAGGGGACATCTTTCCCAATTGAGGTGTACTCGCTTCAGAGTTAGCTGCTGTTGACGTATTCGTCATATTATTGCCGACCATTGAAGCTGTTTTTGTGAGTAAATTAGATAAAAGAGCAGTAGCCTTAAGAAAAACTGATAATGAAGATATAATGAAGACTATTTACATTAAATAGAGGTGCTGACGGGCTGTTTACTTCTGAATCTGGAGTTTTCAATTTGTTTTCATCGTCGTCTTCATCTTTCTTGTCAGCTTCATCATGTTCGGAAGCTGAACGTACAAGCTCTTCAATGCCGAATCCAAGACCAACAGATTTAATTGGATATTCTTCAGCCAATGTAGGTGATGGTGAATGAGGCTAAATTGGAAAATAAAAATATTCGAAATAGTAACGGCAATAACAAGTTACCTGTTCATCGGAAGCTGAAGTTTCATCATCCACAGAACTCATAATTTGATCTTCTTCAGTACTCTTAATCTTCTTCGCAACAGTTTCTTCACCAACGTTATTAACCAATCGAACTATATCTTTAGCTGGAACGGACATGAATTAAAAAATATTTTTGCAAATTATTATTCAATTAAATTTTGATTTTTGAGCCTATGGCCGGTCTTGTACTATTACTTCAATCAAACTTTTTGTGCTCTTTCTTTCGTTTTTTTTCAAAAAAAACGGAGATGACTATGAAAGAACGATTGAAAGAAATATTAGTTTTACAAAGAAATTCATGAACAGAGGTTTTTCATATGCAAATTAAGGGTGTGAAATACAGCAGAGATAACCAACAAGATAGATTGAGATCAAAGAGAGAGCCGATATGGAAGCGTAAACGTAGTAAGAAGGAAGAAAAGATTGAAGTTGTTTCAAAAACTAATTAGGAATCTGAGAATTCGTTTGTACAACAAATAGCAATTCTTCAAAAAAAAATCCTAATAGAGCAGAATGCTTAAGCGAGTCATTTGTAACGCCTGATTAACTCGTTGGACAGAGATGCGGCAAAACTCAAAAAAGGAAAAGAAATTCAAGTTCATATTAATCGCCTCTTCAACAGTCTTTGGGTGAGTAAAAGATTAAATGAGCGCAGTCATGGATAGAGTTATGGTGCCTGTAGTAATCTCAGACTCAGAGCGTTGAATATGCCAGGAAATTAATGAGCGAGAACTGAATGAGTTCTCTTAAAATGGCATTTTATTTATACCGCCTTGATAAAATTACGATTAAGAACGTCTATCATATTAGTCCCATTAAAATCAAAACTCAAAATTATGGCAATTGATGCGATTAATTCGTATATTTCGATGTTAAATAAGCGATCACGTGGGATTTCACCTGCTTACGTGAAGTAATCATCTCTCAAACTTAGCGTATGAGACATATGTATCTGGTCGTTGCACGAGACAGAGCTGTCCAGTAATAATATTAGTTGGAAAGTTAAGGTATAAACAAACTGATTAAACATGTCTATTGTTATTTTAGAAATTAAACAAAATTAAAAGCTTTCAAAACATTAAAAGAAGCCATAGTAAGTGTTTGAACATGGTTTCTGCTTTTCCACGAGAAAAATAGAAAAAGAATGTTTTGAACGACTTTTTTTGTAAATATAGTTCCACCAAAAGCTACAAGATATATAGACAGTTAAGAACTAGTGCATTATATGGAAAAAATGAAAAGAAATGAACATATGCATTGGAAATTAGCTCAAATTTCTAAGACAAACTGTCCATGTTCTTTCATACTTGATTAACCATCAAATATTGATTTGCACAAAATCGAAAATATTTTGTTGAACATATGATAAATGACTATAATCATGTACTGTACATGATGATGTTAAAGTTCTCACCATTTCAGATGTTTTTTTTTGTCAAAAATCGACTGTCCTATTGCTTTATACTACTGAAAGCTCTCGTTGTTATTCTTCCAGTAAAATAAATTACTTCATTACATCGAGACGAGCTTAAAAGGAGCAAATTCTTTTTCCCGCTTTTACGACAATTAAAACATTTCCATGTTTGGAATCAATAAACAAATCAGTTTTGATATTCTTCACCCCTCGAACTTCCGAAAGAAACAAGATGCCAGCTCTTTTCGGTGACCCTGCATTATGCTTCACAGTTTGACCTCGTAGGTCTGATCGGGCTTCTCATAATGGACACATATGAAGAAAAGATGAGAAAAAGAAGAGTCATTGAAAAGAAGTGCTTGTTCGAATAGTTTTGTTGGTTGTTGGTTACATGGAAACGAATATATGAACATATAAAAGCCTAAATAGTCTCATTGGCTAAGACTATTAGGCATCTGCCTTGCCTTCATGTGCGACGACGGCAAGACGATTGCAAAGTCAAAGGGAAACATGTGTTCATAATGTGAGAACGATGCTCTTTGAACAATGTCAAATCAAACGAATAAAGCTTAATAAGGAAGTCGCAATTTCAAAAAATATCGGGAAAGTACGCATTTGAAAACAGAGAGGCTACAGTGACTTTAACTTCGACTCCAAGCTCGAGCCAGTAGAAGGAGAATTATGATAATACTCTATTAGAGAATAATGGCAAGGAAAAAGATAAAAAGATGTGAAAATGCGGCACATGAAACGAATGACAAAGAAAAGCGTTAAGGCAGAATGAAAACGAACATATATATGGTCTTTCTCTTGGTTACTATAACAGACTGAATATAAATGAGACAGAATGATCATCGCGTGATTCAAATTCAGAGTGTGGCTTGCAAAAATCCAACGTTATCGCTTATAATGATTCAGAGGAAGTAAAAAGATGGAAAATTGGAAGAATAAAGATGAAGTCAACCGTTCTGTACGTCTACTATAAGAGCATAGTGATGATAAAGCAAGTAGAGCAAAAACAAGAGTTAATAGTTGAATGGAAATATTAAACGACCATAAAATGAGTAGCAAAATAGAAGCTAAACATACCGTCAGGCTTTCTTTTTCTTTTAGCGCTTATGCTACCACCATCAGAAGCAGGGTTCGAGACGACGGATGAGGTATCATCTGGAGACATTGAACCATCGGCTCGAGATTCAGCTGATCCAGAGATAGGTGAAGCTGTTTGCTGGCGGGCGGCCAACGAACTGAAAACCATTTAACAATTAATGGGACGAATGAAAAAAGAAATAATGTATAATGAAAAAATAATGAAATATAAAAGGTGAGCAAACAGATTGACACTGTGCGAATGAAACTAAAATAAAAAGTGAAAAGAAAGATAGTACCTGACAAGGGATAGGAAGAAATCCTGCGAGTAGGCTCCATTGCCAGTTGGTAGTAACTCGGCCATTAAGAGCTAATTGCCTACAGACGAAAATGTAGATCAGTTTGTGTTGATAAGATGGGAGTAACAACTTGACTAAAGCAAGACGTACAACACAGTAACTACTTTTAGAAAGCGGTAGTTTGAGTCTGGCAAGTAGCAAATAAGGAAAGGAGGCGTGGCTAGGATGGGAGGAGTCTAGCAGGTGGTGTATATTGCCATCCAAACAGCATAGCTAGACCTACTAATGTCATTTTGGGTCAAACAGATTTGAATATCGCTTCATCTCTTGAAACATCATTAATCTTAATTGATAATTAATGATAGTTTTCTATTAAAGGGAAAGAAAACTTGATAAGTTTCGAAAGCTTCCAACTAAATCATCAAGATCATTCCCATTATCTTCATCTGCAATCTTCATTTGCTGCCAACGAAGTGAAACTTCGAAAGTTAACTTGGATTTCACCAAATTAAGCTGAGCTTCGGCATTACTTAATAGTAACAGTTTGGAGCAAAAATTCTCTTGTTGATCTCTTTCTCTTCCCTTTGCTCCAAATGAACATTACTCAGCTAATAAAAAAGAAAATTCACAATTCTAAAACTGCAGGAATCATTTGTTTACTTTCGTTCACTGGAAAGAAAGAAGATTATAGCTCATATTCCACTTTCAAACCTTTTCCATGAGTTCTAAGACAAGAAGCGATATCTCAATCGCAATCTATCAAATGTCCAATTACACGATAATATGTTTAATTACGGAATAACTTGACCCATATTTAAGTAAAGATTGCTCTCTCCATTCTCTTAATACCCAGGTGATTAGGAATACAAAATAATGGGTTTCCAGATTGAGCAGGCTGGATAAAGCAGAGGAAAATCCCAAAATCATTTCTCAAAGAAGAATGATGCTATTGAGCACCTGGTGGGATTAATTCGTTGATTGTTCTTTTTGGCAGGTCTTGCTTCTTTTTTTCCTTTTTTTCATATTCTTTTTCATCACCACTATTTTCCTCTTCTTCGTCTTCTGCTCCGTCTGGAGAAAGGAAACGGTAGTTGCCACTTCTCTCTACTTCGCACACACACACTCTCAACAATGTCGTTTTCTTAGCCAATATGCCGCAGGCGCTTGAGTAGGCTCGAATAACAAACTTGGAGCAAAGCAAGTCTAAGGGACCAGCGAGAGCCAATTATGACCTTACAAAGTTGGAAGCGATGCCAGTCAGCATGCATGCACTACCGTATGCCAAACTTGAGAAGAAGTTTTGTAGAGATTGGGGCGGGCCAAGATGGAAGTTTGACAGAAAGTTTCCATCTGCAATATGGGGATGATATGAATTGTGAAAATATGTAAGAGTATTGAATGAATTATTCCAAACAATAGCGTGTCCGATATGGAACTAGTCACCCAATAAAATGACAGATTGGCAATTACTTGATGAAATGAAGAAACCGCCATAAGGGTTCTTCTTCGCCTTCATCATAGTCGTCTCCTTATTTTCTTATTCTTTGAAGATCAGCATTGCTTCATTGTCGACAACAAAAATGTACAACAAAACCTTTCTCTGATTACACAAAACCATATTGTTATTTGGAGCTTTGCTTCTATCTGAAAACCACAACATGCTTTTCCAAAATAGGGAAGGAAAGACTATTGCGAGCTTTGAAACAAGATATGGTCCTTGACTCTAAATGGCATTCAGATAGCTCTCTCCTTCCATTACTAGTCCTTGGTCACTTTGTCATCTTACCCACACGAAATGGGATTATCAACAAACAGACTTCACTCCAAAATAAAATCGTGCTGATGTTAGTTTTAGCTGAACCATACTATCCTTAAACAGATAATGGAAGCCCAAGCAGCAAAGCCATTAAGTCAAACAAATCGTTCTAGGAAGATCGTTTAAAAAACAAGTACAAGCTTGTCACTCCTTTCACATCCGCAAAGAAAGCGACAGCTCAGCTTTTCCAATCCCATTTCCCGATTTCAACACCAGATGTGATGAATGAGCTTGAAAAAGAAATTGAAAATTTCCTTTCTCATTTTTGCGTGTTATACATGGGAAAGGGACACTTCGTCTTCAAATCTCCGCCCATGTGTCAACTCAAAAAAGCAAGTAATACTACCGTAATCAGTTCTCTTGACACTCATTGAATTCACAATGTCAACTCCTAAATGATGAACATTATGGGATTGGGATTCCTTTGTTCCGGAAAAGTGAAATGGTAGCACAACAGACTATTAGGTTGTTACTTAACGAGTAACATCTCCGCCCTCTTCTGGCGTTCAATAAAATTTGAGCCGAGGAAACATAAGAATTTGACACCAAAAAAGGATGTATCCGGTATTTCGAGTTGTTTTTTTCTGTGTCGACCAGCTTTTTCTCAGCTTGATAACATTGCATGTTTTGACACCAGCAATACTTTCATTTCATCAAGATGCCACTTCTTAAGCTCATAATCCAAAGTCATTACCATCACAGCAGCCAAATAAATCACGAGTTCTTCTTGGTGAGAAGACTAGAAAGACGACGTCAACGAAGCTTTTGACTTTTCGTTAGCAACTTGCTGACAATGCACGAAGCGAGGGACAGATTACTCAAACTGAAGCAGAGTTCGTACCACCATTCATCTCCAGTCTATTACTTATGACTTTAAGACAAACTAGAATTTTAAATAGACCTCCAGCCTTTCATTCAGCCTTCCTCGCATATTCATGGCTCAATTTCAGACCATTTAATAACACTTTCTGTTTTTATATTCGAGAGTTTACTCTATATAAGTCTCCTCTTTTTGCAGTTTCGCCCAAAAGCTTTCTCCTCTCCTCCTCACCATTCTCTTTTACTTGTTTGTGACGTTCAGCTCACCGGCAGTGACTTCAACAACTACGGTAGTCGGATGAGCACACAGAAAGCTAAAAAAAAGAAAAAAAAACAAAAAGGAGAACATTCTTCCTGCTGATTCATTTGGCGTTGAGTAGAAAAGCTCATGAGACTTGCATTTAAGCTCCGTTCTAGGTAATCAAAGCCTATTCTGACCCAGAGAATAAGCTGCCCATAAACCAAAGCCTTCATTTTTGAGGATCATTGCCAGGTGACAGGGCAACTGATCAGCTGTCTCTAAATATCCTAATTAGGGACTACAAAGTCTTTTATCGGAAGCCCGAACCACAACGAAAACATTCGGTGAAATCGCTATATTCGAGGATAAAGCGTTTCATAATGAAATTGCACTCGCACTAAGAAAGAAGAAAAACTGTTTCAAGCAATAAAGGGAAGAAGAAACAAAAAGTATAGTGAAACCAACTAGAACCTGAACTGAAACGTTTGTTTGAACAGATTTTCATGGAATTAAGTACACATCTAGTATTTCGAAGTAACTTCTACTTTGTTAACGAACTCTGTCAGCCTAATCAAACAAAACATCAAAGCAGGCCAGATCACTTTACAGACACAGATGGTCTCCCATCATACATGTGTCATTAGCTGACCTTCAAAGTTGACATCCTCTCCTGCTGCCATATGGAAAGTACCATTTCTTAGGATCGTACTAGGGTTTGATTAAAGGGATCAAAACTTTGTGAATAAAGTTCCGGAATGTTTCATAACTTGTCAAGCATTTCGTTCATACAGTAGTTTGCGTGACACATATGACATACTAGGTACTAATCAGAACATCATCTCCGGTTGTGGTGAATGGAAATAATTTCCTTGAAAGGCACGCGAGACGGACAAGTTGTCTTTATGTTAATCATAGGTTTTATTTCACCCCGACTTATATTTGCCAATAGAACAAGTCGTAAACCTTATTATTCCAAATAAGGTAAAAACAATACGTTCCTCTTCAATTATACTTTACTTAATAGCATCTTAGCTATGTTATAGCCTTGGTACTTTCATTAAAGTAGTGCCACTTCGATTGTGGCTTTCGCACACCTGGCGACATCTGCTTTCACTCAGCGCTTTACTCCAGCTATGGTAATGGTGACCTTGTTTTTTTTATAATAATCACGCTCTCATAAGTAATATTCGATAATAAAAAATGTTAAGAAGTGGTGAAAGTACACTTACCTGAGTCAAATCCTTCTTATTGTCAGATTGGGTTGGAAGACAAAGACATTTGAAAGTGCTGATTGAGCGACAACATCTCTTCTCCTACTTTTTTCATCGCCTAGGGATAAAAGATTCTTGAAAGTTTGAGTAAAAAAATTTGTTTGAGGGGACACCTGTCGTAGTTAGGAGACTAGTTTATAGTTCTGTAAAATGTTCTACCATGCTAACATACAACAGATGTTTCACCTTCTGTCTTCAGTAAAAAAGGAATGAAAATCTGATTTGACAGCAAAATACATGGATAGTTAATCACCACGAGAGACCCTAACAAAACACAAAAGCCTTTGTGCTTGGCCGACAAATCGTTGCGCGATTTCAGATAAGTCAAAGCCTGGACAATTAGTGGACAAGTTAATTCGCTGCTCGCATTACAGACAGTTAAGTCATTTCTCTGTTTTTTCGGAGCTCCTTTTTTGGAAAAGTGGGTGAACAGATGTGAACGGAAAAGAGTTTATCCCTTCATGTATATTTACAAAAAAGGACCGCCATGCAAGAGGAAGAGCGCAATCTCCGCTCGCTATTGTATGTATCATCTGCCCCACTCATGTAGGGTTCTTACTTCTTCTTTCATACACAATTCTTAACTAGAGGTTAATCCAAACAATCACCTAACTTGGGGAAAGTTTCTTAGTTTCTCTATCTCCATCAAACCCTTTTCTTCCCATTTAAGGCGCCAACACAATATGCAAATAAGCATCTACCACACAACCATCACTAACAAAAGCTAATTTACAGACGTGTCACTATAGAAAATTACTACTGGCAGTGCTAACAACCCTTCTTCTATCATTCTCAGGGACCCAAATAAGAATTTTCGAATGTCACCAAAAATAAAGTCCAATTTACATAAAATTAACTTGCCTTAATAAACTCGCAACTTGCATCTGCCTGTCACTCGTCGTTTACTGAAACAGATCAAGACGGTTTGTTTCGATATGTTGCCTTACTTTTTGAACATCCGACCTTCTTCAACTGCCCATAATTTAAACTCATGTGGCAAAAAACAAAATCAAAGAACTGAGATAAATTCTGAAATAGAAATTATTCCAAGTTAATTATGTTCCGTGGTCTAACGCTGCATGAGTAACTTCGGAACAGGCAGCCAGGTCACAAAATTTGACTCTTAACAAGTAAGTACTGAACGTACAGTGATACTGTACAAATGTAAAAAAAATCATCATTTATAACAAATAAAATTCTTTCAATTTTCAAAAATAACAACAAAACAATTATTACAGCTTGGTTTCACAACAGGGCTTCATTCACAAAACTTATTAATTTTAAATCTGAGTTGTATTTACAGATTGTAGAAGATCTAAGATCTGATGGATGGCAACTTCAATTCAGATCGAAGAGATCGGAAACAACGTTTTCTACGCTATTTTTGTCAACTGGAACGATATTTAGTATTTGGAAGACTTATCTATCGTTCTCACCTCCAGTAATTTTAAACAATGCCATAGAGTTTGTTTTTCGACAGCACGCCAACAAACTTCCACAGGGGCTAACATCAAATGACGCGCTATAAGGAAAATATCCTTTCGAAACCTTAACGAGGCCTCCTTTTCTGCACAGACCATCCAAATACTAAAACAGATTGTTACCTCCTTATAGTAAAAACACACTTACATAGAGACTTCTATTTTGAGCATCGGCTACAAGAAGATTATTTCTTGAATCCATAACAATTCCACTAACGAAATTAAATTTCACAGAATTTGTGTTTGACTTTCTGAGGTCTTGAACAAAAAGAACTTCCAAAGACTTAGAGTTCACACAAACAATACAGTTCTGACCTAAACGTACCTAGCATAAAAAACTTTTAATCGAATCAAACCCAGATCAGTGATATACGCCGATCCATTTCTAGAACTAATAAAACAAGGGTTTGGCCCCATGTAGGAGCCATGAATAACAGGGAAAGGGCAAGATTTAGCAACCTTAATGAAACGTAACTCAACTGAGGTAACTAAGCAAGTTTACTCACATGATTTGCTTCTTTTGGGTCATATAAGATTAACGTACTGACACCTTGTACACGTCCAGAAGTGAGCAGAAATCCTTCTTCTGTTACAGCAAGTCCTAAACGGTCATTAAGATTGCGAACTAGGACGTCTCTCTACCTCTGCACATTCCATTTAAGCCCGTAGCTACCACATATTTAATAAGACTTCTCAAATCATACACATAAATGCCATTTCGATCCAGAACACCCAATAACTCTGCACCAAGTGAGCCTCAATATTCTTAATAATCATTCCAGCTTACCTCCCGGCCTTATGACCACAATTGCCGACGGATTGTTCAATTCTCCAATCATGGGTACATCAGGCATGACACCTTCCACAGAGCAGCTATAAATCTGGAAGAAAACCCAGTTCGTAATAATGACACAGAAAGCAAACTTCAGATGGTCCCGTGAACAAAAAGCCAATGGTGGAATCATAAGCACAACCTAATGGGTTGGACACCTTTCCGATACCAACATCGCATACCTTCTCCAAGAAGAGATCTTTAAAAAATATTTCCGATTTTTTTATCTGTTTTCCTCCAAAAGTAGAGAAACCAACCTCCATCTACGTTTGTCCATTTCTCAAAACTCATGTAATTTCTTCTAGGAATACAAGTCTCATCTTCCGAACTTGCAACGCTCAATCGATTGAGAATGGATTTAGATGGACCGTTGTCGACATAAGATCGTAAACAGTTTTTAATATATTTGATGACTTTGTAAGCTTTCGCTCTAGTTTTAGCGTCTTAACTATTATGTTGTAATCATTGTCATGAAACTCATTTTACCTCTATAAGTTTTTTCATAATCATGAGCTATGAATGAAACTTGCATAAGGAGGTCAATATGATTGCTGAAGTTCAGTTTCTTCAACTCGCTGGCTGGTGATCTATCGAGGATATCTTTCAGATATTTGGATGTTGTACTATCAATTTTTTCGATTCGATCAACCTGAAACCATAGGTACAAGTATTCCCTGATTTCAAATGCTCTTACGGCTTTCACAACTTTTCTGGAGAAATCAGAGCTTTCACTCTTTCTTTTCTTCTGAATCGTGTTTGGAGAAACTTTTTCAATAACGTGTGACTGTAAATGCAATATTTTGAAGTAAAAGATTTAAAAACCTTTGCAGCTTTCTTTTCGATATGCGGAGTAGGGTTCGGTATCTGGAAGTATGTCAGTTTATTTTTTCAGAGTATTAACATACGTCAATCTTTGTGGACAAATAATCACTGCGTGGGCTTTCAGTGCCAATTCCTTCATCTAAAACACCGTATAGGAACAAACGGATAAAATCTTATAACCATAATCTGATCCATACAAAGCACTCATTTCATCAATCCCAAAATCGTAATCAAGTTCATTGTTGGTGAGAATCTGCAAACAACAGACTCATGATGATTTCGCAACACTCTCAACCTGCAGTTTGTCATCAACGGAAAAGTTGGTATCAGGAAATTTGGATTTTACTAGAGAAGAACTGCCTTCATCTAGGCTTTTCAGAACATTAGATGAACTGAACAAAATACTATGAAGTTGTTGTGAAATAGAAAAAACCTAATCAAAGGTAGAGCCGGCTTCTGGTCAACATCAATCCGAACAACTTTTTCGAAAACGATGTATATGTCATCATCAGTGACCATCTAGAACTTATTTCGTTCAAAGAAACGTATGATAAGCAATTTAAAAACTAAACAGAACAAGTTGATGGATGTGTTTATTAAAGAAAAATAATCGAACGAGTTTGTGTCGTAAAAATACGCAAAGTTGTTATGAAATATATTTTACAATTTGAAGTCACAGTATCCTCCAGCATTTTTTTGTCGGTTTTTCGCTATGAGAGTTACAAGAGCATCCAATTCATAGAACTGTAAACATACATTAGTGACATCATAAGACTGAAAGAATTACTTTTGCTTCTTGATATAACAAAGCTGTGATTAGATTATCATCTGGCATAATTACACGGTTATCACGAACGAAATTCAAAATATATTTGAATACTTCTGGATCTCTGTCAATAAAGAGAGTCTCAATAGGAATACCATCCTGAATGGATTCATTAGTTCAGTCCACACACATATCAGTGAAACTTACTTTTACATAAGAGAGGATTTTAGGAATTTTTAGTAGAGTTTCTTCAGTTGTTGAGAATAGCTTACCACCAATGTTGACGTTTACGGGATTCATGGCTGATTGCTGTTGGGGTTTTCAATTCGTCTTTATATAGTACTCTAGCATGACGTGGCCTTCGTAGACGCGATCTTATGATGAATCATCACTACCTATAGTTCATGCTAAACACTTTCTGATGATAAATTTGTTATCTTTCGATCTTAAATTGCACACGTTGTGTAAAGGTTTCTCATTAGAGTAAGAAAGTAATTGGATTTCCTTTAAAGGCAATGGGATTAGTTCCACAAGATTGCCGAATGCTGTTCTTGACGTTTAATGCTCCAGCTTGACTCAAAAAATGGCCAACTTTCAACGAGCTAGTCGATTTGGGCGCTTGTCTACTCTTCCGGCACTTCTATCTTTCCTTTTTTAGAGGCAGTTTAAAAATTGGTCATTTGTATGAATACTACCCTAATTTGCTAGTTTTCAGTATCTTCGAACCTAATTAATTTTCAGCCAATTTCATTCTGACTTCAATCGACAAACACTCCCATTCATGTATTCATAACATTTGGACTCCATTCTTTAAACTGCCAAATATGGAGATACTTAAATGGCTTCTCTTACTCACGTATATAAAAGTTATATTTACAACGAAATGTAATTCTATGCATGTCAAAAGTCATGGCTTGGACTTGGTAGGCTAGAAACCTCTGGAAGCTAAAGTTGCCGTTCAGATTTGTTGCAGTTCCATCGACCCTTTGCTGTCAACTTGCGAATTCTCTTCGTATTGTCGCTTTGAAGAATGCTCTTGCCACTTATCTTTACGAGATGATTTCGAATGTTCACTCAATTCAACTCTAGATGTTCGTTCCCACTAATATTTCCTGAGATTCGGATGCAATTTAGACTCCCTTCTCATGGAAAGACCATGCTGTCAATCCAAATCCTTTACCTTGCATGGAGGCCAATTTACCAAATAATGATGTTCCTTATCAGTTGAATATACTGCATTGGAAGCCAAGGTGTTCATGAACGTCTCTCCAACTTTAATCATGACTGTTTTCAGAAAAACCAGAAGCTTCTTGACTGGAATCTGCGAATTAAATGTGACTTCGTTATCACTCCGAGATATTTCACCTGAAATGGGTTTAATAGATTTTCAATCATGCTTAACTTCCATCCAGTCTATTGAAATTAACCTCAAGTAGAATATGACCTGAAATATAGAGATGATCAAGGAATATTCCAGAAGTCTACAAACAATTGATATGTACAGCATGATAGAAGCGTCGGAGAATCTGAACAGCTTAAGACTTGTTAACGTGAATTTTGAACTTTGGGATAACGTATGATTCCTATAAAAAATAATGCCATAAATAACAGAACATAGATCTCGCCTTGGACACAAACGATTTCGTATTTCCACATTGAAAACTCTTCCATCACAACATTACCCAAATGGCTTGCGTTATCCGAAAACCTTCAGCAACTTTTTATGAGCCGTTTGTTATATTTTATTTCTTCCCATTTATTCTTTTTCTGCAGATACAAATTTGAACTCTATCTCTGTAGTTTCCCAGCTTTCACATCTGAGATCTGCTAAACTAAGTCACAATAAAATAAACGACTTGAGCAAGAGTGTTCTAAACAATCGGGAGTTATACGATTTGGATCTAAGTCATAATTTGGTAGGCATTCTATAAAGAACCTCATTATGTTTTCTTTAAGGTTTCATCAATAGCTTCTTATACATTTATAAACTGTCCTGAACTCAGAGTTCTCGATCTCAGCTATAATCCTCTCAGTAGCCTACCTTACAAGCCATTTGCCAAAAACACAAAGTTGAAATGGTTGAAGCTTGATGGGACTAATATTCATGTATGTTTTGAAAAAAGATTGTTGTGAATGAAAACGTTCAGACCTTGAGTACGGATCATTTTGCTGGATTGACTTCCTTAAAAACTTTGTCATTGTCTCGAACCCCACTCAAAGTCATTTCACCTTATTCATTCCTACCGCTGAAAAGCCTAAAGATGCTCAACTTGGAATCTACAAACTTGACAAGAGTTCCGGCAGCTGTAACTCAGAACTGTGGCCTCACTCAGTATGACCTGTATCTTAACATTTATATTTTTTTCTTTAAGCTTAAACCTGGCTAATAACTTTCTCCACCGTCATACATCTCTACCTCCAGAAACGCTTGTGATGCTATCAAGCTTGTCACAACTACAAATTGATGGAAACCCGTTAATGGTTAGTAGCTTACCGATGTCTTCAATGATCTGTGTTTGAAGGAGTTCCCTCCGTCTTTATTGTTGCTCTCGAAAGATAATGCTAGATTGTATCGTCAATTGATTCAAACAATGACAACTTTGCCGGTTTGGACCAAAGTATCTTGCACTCCCTACTATTGGAATCTTCATCTGGGCAATAGGCAAGTGATGAGTACATAGCTAGCACAACTCTTTCCAGGTCTCACGCTTTTCGGCAACTACTCCAACCTTGGAATGAAACACGAATGAAATCCAAGTCTATGACTTATTGTAAAGAACAGTATGACCACATGATTGATCAAATGCAGGTTTACAAGGATTTGGAACATAACAGCGGTTGCTCATAATTTCCACAGAAGTTTTGCAATAAATACTTTCAGCTTGTTCTGTGTCCAGGAAGTTGAGGTCAGCAATAATGTCTAAGAGTGGGGACACTTGTAATAAGACAAAAGTCGTTGTTCAACCAACCTGTTCAAAACTTGAGCCAACATCACCTTTGGTTTTATTCATTTCCCTATTTTCAAACTTTTTCTTATTATTTCTACTATTTATTATGACAATTGTACAGTGTTTTAGAAGAAAATCTGTAACTTACTCATAGGTTTTCAACCCGCTGCAAAGATTATGACTAGAAAGTTACTTGATTACCACAACTGGAGCAAATACAAAGTTAAAGCAGAATCTAAATGAATCAAATATTTTGTGCCAAATACCAGATTTTCTCAATTTCGAATTTGTAATTCTATGTTGACGATTATTGTGTTTGTTAAACTGAAAAAAATAAATAAAATCTGCAATCCTCGTTTTCGAAAAACCTGTTTACAGTTGAGACACTCCAGTTGCAGTAGCTTGAGCTTAGGTGGATAGCGGAAGATAGGATATTGGTCGAAAAATCCCACGAATCTTACTACGTCCCCTGTGAGATAGAAACAACATGATTATTTATATTGGAGAGATTACCTTCATCAACCAATTTCAACTGCTCGAAGAACACATGACTTGCCAGAAGCACAACTTGGCCTTTGCTACTCGATAAAGATCTTTCCCCGTAAGGACCAGATACATCTACTTCAAAGGTGTAAACGTTGTGCTCAGTCAGAGAGCACATATTTGGTCTTAAAATTTAATTATGAAAATCTACCATAAGTAAGAATTAAAATACCTAACTCCTCCTGATACATATGCATCAGTTCTATTACTGTCATAGAAACATCTAAGCGTTTGACTAAGACTTTCAGGTAGATACCCCAACAAAGTCTCGAAAGAGTTGTCAATATTCACAACCCTCACAGACTGGATAGTTCCCTTCCAGTTAATGGCAGTTCCTAGAGTCGTTCAAATACACTTTCGTTTTTAACATGAGAAAAAACCTTTCAATTGACTACATTCAATTTGATGCTTCACATTATTCGCAGAAGCAGATGAACAATGTTTGTCGTATTGAACCCTAAGCAAAAAAATATTTTTGTTGAGGAACAAAAACAAACCAGGTCATATTAGTTACATCTGCAGACGGATCGAAATTCAGTTGTCCTTCGTACAGGAACGAAATTGCCATCAAGAGTGAAGATAGATATATGAATGCTAAAATCCATTTTCCAGTACGAGATTCGTCTAAAAACATTCCGATTCCAACAACCAAGGAGAGAGAAATACTTTTGAATTTGTCGAGAGAAGGAATACATTTCCATAGCCGCGAAAGAATGAACGGAGAAAACAACAGCAGAACAGTGAGAAGTGCTTTGATTATGAAAACCTACAAAAAAATTACATGAAGAAAATATTTTTTCAACTCACGAAATCAATCGCACGAGTGAACTGGGTCACGAGGAACGCGGATAAGAGGGCTCCGGCTGTTAAAGAATAAGAAGGATAGAGAAAGAGGAAGGCTGCTCCTAACACAAAAAGGACATCAAAAATCTAAAAATGTAAGCTAAAAACGTGTGATATAGTGTGATTACTCCAAAATTTTTCCAGCCTATCATGAGAACAGTCATGGCCACATCAGACCAGCTGATGCACACAATGTGAGGAACAATGAGTTGCCACGATTCTTTCCACGTCCCTTTTCTCAAGATTATGATAGAGTATAAAATAGGAATGGAGAGCAAACAGAATGAAGGAATTCCTAGAACTACATTGAAGTAACCTATAATATCCAGGTTACGAGAATGAAGAAAATTTTCCATCACTTATTCGGAATTGAATAATCGGCTTCCATATACGCCAAGATCCAATAGAGTAATGCATTCGAGACAACAAAATAGGTAAACTTGAAAGCAAAATCAAAACGTGAGAGAAATTTGTGAAGTTACCAGGAAAGCAAATTGGCAATCATAGCAAAAAGGGCATATTTGTCAGTCGTGTCCGTAAGACTTGTGAAAGTGGTGATGGCGAAGAATAAGGAAGAGACGAAAAAAATGCTGCAGTGAGGAAGATACTTCTCGGCTGCTCCGACTGTAACCACAAGTGAGAGTTGATTTTGATGAAAGTTTTACCCGAAAGAATAAAAACAGACAACGATATGAAGAAGTTAAGATATGGTTCCCAGTTATTATTCGTTTGGAATAACAGATCGACACCGTTATCGATAGTTCCTTCCTGTTCTGATGGCCCTAACAGACTTCTTACGGCATCCTTCAGGCGTTGTTTCGTGGAGGAATTTCTTCAAAACTTTCATAGACCTACCAAGACACACAAAGAAAAACCTCTTATTATGAAACATCTTGAGAGTGAAGTAAGCCATAGCAAGAAATGATATGAATGCTGCAGCTACGGGGATCGCTTGTAACATGTAAGAAACGCTAGAAGAGTAGTCAGCTATTCCGACAAAAATAGAAAAATTACCTTATGAACTGGACGAGACATATAAGGACAAGAGTCTGAACTTGGTGGAAGGGGAATACGGCATAGAGTAAAGTCATCCATTGCTCGTTAATCTTTTTCAGCACATATTCAATGAAGGCATCAATTTTAGACTTGAATGATGTCTTAATCACTACGGATTTTCACAAAGGCACATACCATAGGTTTGGTGAGATTATTCCGGAGATTATTGATAAATTCTTCTTCTCCATCCTGGAACACATGAACTTATAATGAGTAACATAGAAGTCCAAGCCTCCACCTTTTCACTAAAATTAACACTATCTTCTATTTCCCCACTCTCAAACAGCTTCTGGAGAAGTTCTGAAGTGAGTAAAAGTTTCACAATAAATTTTCTTTATCCTTTAATACCGTCTGAATGAACATTATCATCCACTTCATCAAAGACTTGCTGGATAGCGTCATGCCGTGCTGCCGGACTGGAGAATACCCTGTACATCTTCCTAGCCCCACGAATGATCTTCTCTATATTTTATTATGACATGTGTTCTTCAATACTTCTAATACCATTATCATTTTCTTGTTTGAAATCAGCTCTCAGGAATCCCCCATCGCCTGAGGAATCAGACCCACTTCGAGGTCTGAATTTCATCTAAACACAAGGCGGAAAGTTAGCTGAGAAAAGTCACATAAGATATTCATTGTTAGAACTTGTTAGAAGCAAAAACACACAAAGGAATGATGAAAATGTTTATAAAACATTCAGTAAGCATCTCATGATCATAATTTTTTTGAAGCGTTCCTAAGGGCTTTCTCGTTTTCAAACTCTCTGTAGTCCGTCCTAGTCAAGAAATCAACTTTACTTAGATACCCATCTTTACCTTTGTTATGAGTAGCTAATTCTTCCTAAACTCACGAATAATAAATACATGAAAAGAATAAACAAACATTAATGTTATGCTCGTCTTTATAAGCTTTCCAATCATGATTGGATTTATCCAGAACTGACAATTTCGGTTTCTTTTTCAGTAGCGTTAAAGCACCCATTAAACCTGCTCGTCTGAAATAACCAATACAGATAAAATTTAAAAAATGTTGTCACTTTTGCGGCTTTTTAGCTTCTACATCCTTCGATCGTTTCTCTTCAATTGTTTGAGCTTCGTCAGTAGAAACCTCTCTCTCTATTCTTAAACAAATGAATTAGTAAGAAGTTGCAAAGTAACAACAAACGTTATTTCTTCACCAGCAAAATCGAAAATTTCCTTAATTTTTGTTTTTTCTGCAACTGTTTCTGAATACGAAGTAGAAGGCTCTGACGCCGGTGTGGATTCGCTTGAGAAATTATATAAAAACAGAAATAACTTGGTAATTTACGATGGTTTCGGTTCTGTCACTTGTGTTTTACTTGGAGCTAACAGTGGATCCTCATCGTCTAGCATATCCAATATTGCGGAAGCATCGATCTTTGTTACACTTTCTTCCGATTGACTACTGGAATTAGTTTCGAAGTTTTTTATTCTGTATAAGTTCAATGTTTATTACTTCTTCTCTTTCTTCTTATGCTTTTTCATAGACCTCCTCGATGATTCAATGATAGTACCATCTTCTGCTGTCACTTCGTCAACCTTTAAAGCACCAGAGTACAATTGTGAAGAGAAAAAAGCAAAATTTTCTGGATAATTAGCAAGATGATCATTCGTCATAATTGGACAATATAACTGTTAGGCAGTTGCTTAGAAGCCAATGATTTGCATAAATAAGAAAATTGAGAAGACTGACCTCGTCCCCAGACTGTTCATCTTCAATATCTTCAACCCCAGCTTCTGGTACGTAATCCTCATCTTCAGATGAACAGTAGTCATCGTTCTCGTTTGACATTTTGCTATAATGAAAAACTTAACAATCATAGGAATACATTGTCAAAGGCGAACACATAATAGTTCAACAAAAACTGCGGAAATTTTCAAAAGGGAACTCAATCATTGAAGTCACTTTCAAAGCACTTTCTCTGTTCGTATGAGTTCAGAAGATGTATTGGTTTTGTTTTTGAGTTTCTCTTCGAATTCTTTATTTCATAAGTTAAACGAAAGCGAAACACGCGATATGCGTCAACAGGAAACCCCATGTTGCAATAAAGGCGCAAATTCGGTCGGAAGAGTGCAGGGAGAACAGAGGCCGGAGGGGCGTGTACAGAGACGAAGAGGAATCAGCTGGTTGGAAGGGCCTCAGTCTTGTCTATACTGCCGCTTTTGCTATGCCTTTCATGGGTAAAGATTGGAGAGCACCTGGTGAAACATGGATCAGGATACCTTATACAAATGGCTGGGAACGCTCAAAACTACGTCCAATACAGGTTTGTTTTTGAATTTTCTGAAAACGTTCGAAGGAACAATTCTTTCTGACTGTATCTCTCACTTGCATTCGCATCATGGAAATTGCCGTTCAGGTCACATGAGGCATGTAGTTGCTAAACTGGAGAAGAGAATGAGAGAGATAAACAAATTGTTTCCTGTATTTTGCATATTCTCATAATTTTCCTTTTTTATAACTAAATGCTTTTATGGGTGAGCTTGAAATTCCAGTCTTTTTGCGATCGATTTCGTGGATGTTAGTTAGAAGCTCAAAGATAAAGTCCTTTTTTTTCTTAATTATCCACCAAATCTCTAAGAAACTAACAGAATATGTGTTCGTAGGAAGATTTTTTATAAAGCTATTGTCGTTTTCCTTATTTGTTTGCCATGTCCGAGAGAGTCTGCTCTATTAAATTACATAAACATTAGAATGGATTATTAGAAGAAAATATTTTAAAAGTCGAAACAAAGGAGTTTAGCTCACAACATTCAGTTTCTTGTTATTTCAAACTCCGTTTATATAACAAAAAAAAAGAAGAGAATTTATAATGCTCGTTTCAGCTGTGTTCTGAAGCTATTCCTATCCCCGATAGCTTTGATTCAAATGGGATATGCCATACTCAATCCTCAACTTCACTTCTCAGTTTGGATAGTGGCAGGAGTAGTTCAATTTCTGATGATTCAGGTATAATTTCTATTGAGTTCTTAAAGAGCCTGAATTTGACCATTGTTTTTGGTGCTTGTTTGTCTAGTTGTCTTAGACTTTTGATGATAAGTACCTGTTTTTCGACTGTTCTTCCTTCTTCCAATATTTACTATTTACGTTTTTTTATTCAATTTTTTTTTATATTATGGGAAGAACTAATACTAAAAGCCAACTTGAATGAACTGGGCTTTTTGGTCACGAGAGTTCAAAAGTTCTCGCATAATGAGGTTGATCACAAGGAAGTCACATTTCTAAGCTTAACAGGTGTCGAGAAAGGTGACCTTCATAGAAATTTTAAACAATTGGTCATAAGAATCTCTAGTACACATGAACCTGTATGAATGACCGTCTGTCGTCGTCAAATAATGACAGTTGGTCTTAGCTTAAAGTGCAGAACCCGTTGATAAAAAAGTTTGTTGAGGAATCATATGCGAGATAGATGATGTGCTAGTGAACGCCATCCACGAATTACATTTCCATGCTGTAAAGAACAAAGTTCCTCATAGGTCACTAATCTGGGATAATTCCTTTTTTTCTGTTTTTTGAACTTTTTATCCAAAATATGTTCTTCAAATGTCAGCTGATTTAAGAGATGTCCCCTTGGAAATCTGTGAATTGACTCTGTCAAATATCTCCGAAGACAGGATCAGTGAAAAACAATTTAAAGTGTTATGATCAAACGAGATCTCCATCTTTCCACTCTCTTTTTGATTCTGTCTATCTCTCTCAATCTCAATCTCTCTCTCTCTTTGCTATTATTGTCTTCCCTTTGTGGAAGAAAAAAAACAGAAAAAAAATAAAAAAGCATATGGAGAAGGTGACAACTTGCAGACACATTTCCTGTAACTCAATTAGTCAAGTAAAGTAGTTGCATTAAGAAGTTTCTTTCAAGCCTAATCAGCAAGTTTCTCACTTTTTTTCTTAAAATTTCGAAACAATGGGTTCTTCTGTTTGCGATGAAAGGAAATAAACAGACTTAACTCGATATATTGGATTTTGGTGAACCATAAAGTCTTTTAAATGACAGACACATAACTCAATTCAGTCAATAACTATATCCATATCATCCTTATGCTTCATCTCACCCTCTAACCCTTTCTCTTTCCTTGTCTGGCTCCTCTCTTTCTCACACGCGCACACACAAAATACACAAGTGTGGCTCATTCCTAATTCATCTCTTCTCTATTGGATTTGTTTGTTGTTCTGTATGTGTTGAAGCAATTTCCTGAAACAGCTTGACCAACACACTGAAGGTTATTAAAGCTTATTGATTGCATTCGTGTGTGTGTGTGTCAAAGCTACTCTGTCTCTCTCTCTCTCTCTCTCTCTCTCTCTCTCTCTCTCTCCTCCTTTAATGTTTCCTCTTCTTCCACTCCTTTCCTGTATCTCATCTTTTAGTTTCACACGCTCTCCTCATTTATTCCATTGTTTTCCTTTCTCTCTATGAACGTTAAGAGAAGATTGAATATTCATTGATCACAAACGGTTAAAGCCTTATTACCTGGTCACCAGGATAATTATAGAGGATATTCCCAAAGGTTACGATTCTAATCCCACCTGTCTAATTCATAGCTTCTTGTCTCACCCAAGGAATAACATAATAATTTCATATTTTCAGTCTCGGATAATGATGAAGGATGGATTCCTCACTGTTTCGTCAAAAGCAAAACTAAAGAAGTAAGAATACAAATAATGTATTCGAATCGATTATTTGTTTTTCTAGTTTGTTGGATGTACAAGTATGAGTGAAGCATTCCATCGATTAGATTTGGCCAGAGCTGTAACGGATGTCCGTCGATTCAATTATATATGCAAAGTAAAAAATATTGATAATAGAGAAACAAGACAAAATAAATGTTTTCAGGTTGTACAAATTCTTGTTGAAGAGAAGCTGAGCGTACTATCGGCCACAGCTCGAAAATCACTTCTGAGTATATTGACAGCTATTGTCCTTCGTTCCATCAATGAAGATGTTCATATCAAAACAGCAAAGGAATTAGTTCAACAGGTGATGCAAACAAACGCTTAGGTTTAACTCCTTTTTTGATTATAGTTCTCTGTTTCATTGGAAGGTCACGTTTGCGGTTCACCCCAGCTTATTTCACGCCATCAATCAACAGCTGGTAATTTGCTTGACATGGTCTCAGATCGTTTGCCTCGAACAGCAGCTGATGCTGAAGAGACATCAACTACATTCCTCGACCTTCCACGTGAAGTAAGACTAGATAAAAGCAATAACAACAATATCGTTAACTTTGTTTAAGATCATCTCTATAATCCTCAGACGGTTACCTGATCATCAATCGTTGTTAGAACTAGCCAAAGCACATGAAGCGTTGCAATCTTTGATCGATAATGAAAATAGAGTTTGGAGATCTCTGTGTGAATTTCATTTTCAAGTAAGATGCACAGTTAAAATGATTATTTACCATCATCATTCAGCCATATCAAATAAAACAGAAGATGGATGATTCTAAAAGCTGGAGAGAGAACTTTTTTATTTTGAAACGGTATTTTGGAGTACGTGAGACATATGCGGATGTTATTCACATCTGCTGCCATTGTAAAGCATTGTATTGGAAAACATTGGGTCATCCATGTGTACGTGATGAAGAAGCTCCATCGGTTCGTGTTACTCCCAGGCAATTTGTTGACATGCTTATCTATCTATAGCTTGTACATAGTTAACATATAGTTTACAATTCTATTATCCTCATCAAGAGATTCTTTCAATTGCATCAACAGTCATTATTTTGTGTCAAAACTATATTATGCAAATTATATTTTATGTACAAAGTTGTATTATATCTCATATGTATTTGTTTTTTATTCATATTTTGTGATCTGATAGCATTCATTCAGCTGCATCCTCATAGTCTATCTTTGCCATTAAACTGGTATCAGTGCTAGTTTGTAAAAAACATTTTTTAACATCGAATGACATGCGGGTGATTATCCCGATGAATATTCATTTCTTTCCTTTCTCTTTTTTTGTTTATATTTTACAAAATAAAATTATTATTTTTATTGTTAACTATCTGTAATCTTCATCTTCAACTAGATTTTCCTTAAAAGGAAATGTCTTTCTTTGCGTTAAATTAGATATAATCAATTAAAATAAGAAGAAAAAGACTTGTTTAAAGCTAACAGGAATAGATTATGAACACAATTTCTCTTTTAAGATATTAATTTTGAGATTTTATTAAAATTATGGGAAGAAAACTGTTGGCAGACACGAAAAATTGAAACCAAAGAATTGCTGAGTTTGAGTGAGAGTGTTTGTTGTTTGAGGTTTAAGATGGTTCTTTCTTCTTTCACTATAATAGCTGCATTCTTCCTTCTATTTCAAGAAATCTGAGTGACATCGGAAATGAAGGCATGTGAATCCCATCGGAAAAAAGCTCGGAAATCAAGCTGTTTAGTGCACATTCCCTATGGAAATAGTGTCAAAAAGTTTCTTTAAATCTTTGGTCATCATCATTGCTCTTCATAACAATACCGCATTTCTCTAATTTGCGCTATACACATTGGAAAAAAAAACTCAAAAGTTGTCTAGTTTATGGTAGAAAGTAGTTTCAGACTTTATAATAATCCAATTATGAACACCCAGGCAGTAATTAAGAACGTTTCATAAAACGATGAAAAAATATTAATTTGCTTCTTGTTTTCAACATGGTAGCTCTATCCAACAGCTTTTATGTAAGCCTCACTAATGTTGGGTATGGTCATGAGACAAGAAGTGAACGCGGTTGATCACTTTTCGAAATGTAGAAGATGCATAAGCTCTATTATCTTTTTAAACTCAGCTCAATATGACCGACACACTATTTTCCTTTTTCGAATGGAACGGGAAGTAAGACATAAACCAGCTCAGTTGAACTTGAAAATTTTGAAAAGTAGAAAAGATCAAAATTCATCCAGGATTTTTGTGTTTTCACAGGCGTTTCGGAATTTCAGTAATATGCATCCTTGTTCTTACCGGTTCTAGCTTTTCCTGTGTACTCACTGACCTATCCCGGTATGAATATGTACTTGAGATTTGCAACTTATTCAATAATTGGTATAAGAAACATTATTCTTTTGTCTAAGAGCCAGAAAATATCCAGTCTTCCGCTTCTTCAAGTAGATATACTGACGTTTCTCATACTGGACCGTATGTCTCTAGATGGTTTCTCTTTCTACATGCATTCTTTACCTCATATTTCTAATTCATCCAGACTTTCTCTTCTTGTCATTGTGAAACGTAGAAAACGCCGAGCAGCACAATTCCGGTCTTTCCTCCTCTCCTTTTCATTGGATAATTAGTTGTCTCGTCCACCTCCACCAGTAACCCAGGTTCTGTCCTCCTTTGCCCTCCACCTCTCCAATCTAACCTTTCGCCCCTCCTCATCTTACTTGTCAGACGACGGTCAGCAGACTTTCTAACCTGGTTGTTCTTATTATATCGAACAGGTTGTTCATCCTCTTCTGTCTACAGTATATATTCCTAGTCTTCAGTTTTGACGTTTTTGAACTTTTTCCGAACCATTCTCTTGTGTTCATCTTATTTTGTGCTTTCTGAACAATATCACCGAATTCAATTTTTCCCTCATATCAATGCTTCTATATGATCTGCTTCTCTCCTTTCGGTTGCTTTATTCTTTCATTAATTCTGCGGGTTTTTCATTAATATGCTAAATGGATCGGAAAAAGTTCGAGAAAATTACACTTTACCCATAATACGGTTTCACCGCAAGGTAATTCAAAATGAGGTCTGACCTCGTCCCCTCTTGTTCATTCAACATATCCTCTGTGCTTTCTTGTATATTTTGAATTATTAATGTTATAACTTCCAACTTTATGAAAAACTTTGCCTTCTCAAGTAAGAAAACATTACTGTAATTTTTAAGATTTTTCTAAAAACAAAACCTGAAAAACATAGCACGGAACTTTTAGCCATTCCTCCTCAACGTTCATAAACTTCATCAGAAAGTTTAAAAAGGTAATTGAATTGGAATTTTCAAAATATTATGAAGAGAGTGGGATTCGAACCCACGCCTCCGAAGAGACTGGTGCCTTAAACCAGCGCCTTGGACCGCTCGGCCATCTCTCCACATTTAAATCTTTATCTTATCTTTATAAGTATATTCTCAAAATTCTTTTACAGCCATGCTCTGTTTGGATCTACGAATAACTGCTTTCTTCTTGGTATTGATAAGGAAGAAGTTTTTAGATAAAATATTAATTTAGTGCGTTCATATTGTCAGTTCAATCAGCATAGACAACGATATCATTGGCGAACCAGATATTGAATGTCTTGAAGACGAAATAAGAATATGGGTGAAAACCAGGAAGATTTTTGCTGGTAAGTTCTGCAAATTGTGAAAATCAGTAATATTGTTTTTTAGGGCGAATTTACGCTAAAGGAAAAGCAGATGTCGATGAATGCAACAAAGATGATTTTGTTTCGGAGAGAACGAAGAAGCCCCACTTCGATCTGAAGTTTGGGGTGTGTGGAATGAAAAGCCTTCGATCGGTAAGTCTCGCTACCTGTAGTTTATTAAGCTTACAACTTGCAGGTTGATCCTAGAGGAATGTATTATGGTATAACTGTAGTTGTTTCGTTCCATCCAGTAAGCTTCAGTCTAGTTTGTAAATGTACACCTAGTTTAGTTGTTCATCACAAAAGTTGATCAAGCGTTCCATGTAAAATGCTTCTTCGAAGAAGCGAACCGAGGCTTAACGGCAGAGCTGGGAGTCAGGTAAAATTATACTTCGATTGTTTGTAACAATTTATGAAAATTAGTATGATCCCGACAACAGAAGTCGAGGCTCGTCATGGAATTCCGGGCTGTTCCTATACAATACATAGAAGTTCTATTGAAGATTTGGATGCTGGAAATCCAGCCGGTCCGCCGATCCAATTTGCTCGCGTAGGAGATCGAGTTCTCCATCAATGGCATTGTAACGACAGTGCGTACCGAAGAATTAAAAGATCTAAAACATCCTTTCCAGAAATGTTCGGAGTTCTAGTTAACAATTGTTATGTAACAGACGGATTCGGCAAGAAAGCGGATGTTATCGACTCGAATGGGTATGAAGTGGCACAACATTATAGAAATAATTTTCAAATCAGATGCGCTATTGACCCGATTCTGATCACTGGAATCAGATATTCATCAGATTTGCAGAGAGCCTATGCTGAATCTTCAGTAGTTAATTTTTTCTTTGCTTAGAACTGTTGTTCTTCTAGGTGTTCAAGTTTGCCGATAAGCCTGGTGTGTGGTTCTTCTGTCAAATACAGATGTGTATGAAGAAATCAGGAATGTGTCAAGGAATAACGGTAACCACTAAATCTCAATAGAAGAACATATAGAAGTTTAGCCTCCCTCGTGTTCTTCAACAGCTGCACCTCTGATAGAAGGAGAGAACAGCGAATTTTCTTCGTTACCCTCGTCTAGAAATTCTTTAGGAGAGAATACTGATTACTTTGACAAACCGACACAAGGCAGAATTCCTAAAACATCCAAAGGACCTCAGAGTACCAGTAATAACGAATACTCCGATTACACTGAGGAAAAAGATCTCAAACTACACAGGTGAAGACTAATCTCTATTGTTTCCAATTAGTTTCAACAATTCCAGTCCTGATTCGACTTCGTATAACTCTGTTACTCCGGCAGTTGATTATGAGCTTCAAACGGAAGCTGTCACTGTGTTTGGTCCAGCTTTCAGTGATTCATCTCCCACCTCTATACTGCCTCATGTATGCGAGAAAAAAAACTTTTCTCTAATCCATTGATACTTGCTTCAGACCTCTGAGAGTGTTTCACAAACATTTGAAACTGAAGATGATTTAACTACAAACGAATTCTCAACTACTGCTATTCCGAAATCTGGAAGCTCAAAAAGTTCCGGTAGTAAATCGTCACACAGTATGTTTCCTCAGATCATCTTATGAAATACACGAGAATTTAATGAGATGATTCATCTTAAAATATCAAAAATCCTCTTATATCCGGTTTATTCGTTTGCTTTTTGACGTTTTTGTCAGACAATTCATTGCCAATTACCTGCTAGTTGGCACATAATTTACCTCTCGTCTCAAATGAGGTCAGTTGTGAAATGAAATGAAAAGAAGAAGTACGACAACTCCTATTTTCATCTCAAGTGGACACATAGAGAGAGAGAAAGTTGAAAGAGAGAAAGTGGTGAACTTACTCCCATTTTGTTGAAAAAAAAAGAAGGAATGAATGTTTAATTTCAGGTGATTATAACGATTACGATGAGATAACCATCCCACCAAATCTATCTGATTTACTCGATAACCTACCAGATGACTTATCTGCTGACTCATTACAGAAAATGTTCAGGTAAATGCTTACGTTCAGTTTTCTTATGATATCATGTGAATTGAAGAGATTCTGTAGATGACCGTAAAGCGTTATTGGATGGATTTGAAATGTTGAAACGTCAAATGAAGGTCAGTTCTCTTTAATGTTATTAACCTAATATTTACCTTCAGAAAAAGCCTACCAGACGAACAAGACCGATGAGAGATTTGAGACCTGGAGACTTGCGATCAGGAGACAAAATAGATCAGATAGTTGTAAGAGAAGCATAAAAATGCCAACGATAACTCGTTGATTAGGTTGACTGGACTTCAAAACGTCGAAGAGACTCCCCGATTATCGATGATGACATTCACCACAGAGTAACAAATCAAAGACACGATGTGCTTGGAACAGAAAAGCCAATGATATCCGGTCAATTGATGATTTTCGATTTGGACGAAACACCTCCTCCAGACTTGTTCCCCAGAGAAGCTCAAAAAGGTTACTTGCTTGAAAGATGAACTCTACATCACCAACTTCATTGAAGATTCTAATGATTCAACATCAATTTGTGCTGTTTCTCGAAATGGACTTGTAGCCATTGCCGGAGGACTAGGATCAGTCTGTGCAGCCTTATTCATCATCACATTAACCTTATATATCAAACTGAGTAGAAAAAGTGGTAAGTAATTGTTTCTCTCGCCAAACTGTCTAGAAATGAATGCTCAACCGTACACGATCACATATGATGTGAGGCAACGTAACAATCCAAACGTATTTCAGAAAAATGTTCCTCATCTTCAGTTTTCTCGGAAGACATGGTTAGTCGTTTTTCGCAGCCACAACAGAAGCTCTTCGGATGAATGGATATTTACTTGAAGAATTGTTGTTTATTTAATTAGAAAGACGTTCTTGTTTTGTCACATTGACGTGAATGATCATATCTCCCTATATTTATTGAAATAATGATAATAAAATTTATTTTCTTTAAGTAATATATTTACATTAACTTATGAATTTGTAACATTTGAAATGTTGATGAAAGACAATGCATATGATCAACTATATACGTATAATACAATACATTACAAGGAATATAATGGCATACACACCGAATAAAAGTAATCTGCTGTAATTGAACGACAAAATGGTCTTGACAAGATATTTAAGACGTCAACTGACGACACGTAATAGAGTTGAGTTAAATATAGTTGAAAAGCAGATCTGTTAAAATGGATTATGATAGGCTACGACTGTCTCGAAAATCTTTCTTCTTTCACTGACAGGAGCTATGGCTAAAGATCGTCGACAATCTTCTAACATATATTCTGATATTCCATCAGCAGTTGTGGGAATAACCGGATTACTATGAAATCTTGCATCTTAATTATCTCAATCAATGTTTTGTTTCGAAGTCATTTATACCTTTTCTCCTGGAACTTTTAGTTTTCCCTCTATACCTTACTGATGAAGCAGGTTTCTCGCAACATACTTCCACTAGCTGGTCTTCCTTGTCTGAAAAGTTAATTGATAGGGATGGTAGCAAACTATGTGGTAGCTTCGAACACAAGGATATTAAGCAAGCTTTGTTTAAATCAACCGAGAGAATAACTTAAGTTTTAAAGATTTCATGCAATAAACTCAAATCATGCGGGTTTTTCAAACACATTTGTCTAAAACTTACTTTACCGTGGTTCGACTAGCGCCTAAACATTTAAATTTTCCCTTTCACGTTTTTGATTTGATGGTTTTAAGAAAAAAAGAAAAGAATATTGACTAACCGCTATTTACATGCAATTCAGAGGGATCATGGAGCTGCAAACGACGTTCTAGCTGTGACATACTCTTCTTGTGTTCTTCGATCAATTGATCTTTCAACTGAATTTCTTTCTCCAGACGTCTCAACTCACTTTCTAGTTCACCCCTTAAGCAGTAGTGTTGTTATGGTCATTACTTTCGCAGTTTTACTCTTTCATATCTTCTTTCATCAAACTTTCTAGTTTTTCATCCAATTTCGAATTTTCCACACATTTGGAAGAATATAAAGCTGATAAAGATGTGATTTCTTCCCTCATCTGGTCAATTATCTTTCTAAAGATACATGTATGTGTTCAATTTATCGAATATGAAACGAACGATTGACGATTGCATTCCTTCTCGCGGTCAATTCCTATTTTCGACTTCTCCACTTTATCTGACATTTGTTTCAACTCTTCCTCATGTGCTCGCCTTACAGCTTCCAGAGCGAGTCTAAAGAATGATTGAAAAAGGTTCATAAAATTGACAATTCTACCTGGTGGCTTGTTTTTCTTCTTCTAATTCTTTTTGATGCTCTAACTTCAAGGTCTCCATATTTTCACCAAAACTGCGTTTCTGTTCTTCTAACATCTCCTCGAAAGAACTCTTTACCGCTGTCATAGATTGGTCAGCTCTTGACTATAATCAAGAAATGATTATCGATTCACAGGTAATATTTCTTACATTCATCAATTCCAACTCTTCCTGGAGGCGTCGTCGACGTTGCTCTTCATTCTCAATGCGTTCTCGCATACTTTTCAACTGATGCTCGAATTGATGTCGCTGAGCTTCAATCTCAGACGTGTGGGCATTCTGCAAACTTTGTTTTTGAAAAACTGATAATCTTGAATAACATACTTTCAATGCCATTACTTCTGCTTCCCACTCAGAATCTTGTTTTACGTCTAAATCATCTTCAACCTCCGTGTTAGGGCCAGTCATAGTCCAGGAATCGGCAAGTTGTACTTGAGCCTCTGATACTTGTCGGGCGACCTATTAGAGAAGCATTGAAAAGAAGAAAACGGCTGGTGTACCTGATCGAAAATAATGGTGAGATCTTCAAGAATCTTCTCAATTATATCCACAACATCTTCCTCATTTATCTCCTCAATAGCTTCTCTAGAGCAATTACCAATTAGAGACATGATTTGGGGGTAAGGACAAACTTGATTTGCTTTATATCATCATGTAACTCTTGGGTGATCCCTAGTGGTCTCAGAGTTACGACCTGATATAAAGCGGACGATTGAACTCGGAGCATCGACATCAGATGATTAATGAGATTTGAAAATCTGGAGAACAGAATGGTTATTGAAATTTTGAATAGAGGAGAACAAACATCATGGGATTTTGCGCTGCACCGTTCAGTTGTTGTTTCAATTCTGATAATTCCTCCTCTTTCTTTTTGATATCTCTCTCAGCCATATTAAGACTTTTTCTCAACTGAGTCAGAGAATTAGTCTGGAAAGTGCGAGCATGTCCTCTTTCAAACTTTAACTTTCGGCTTACATCGTTCGTATTGTATAAATACCGCAGTCTCTCATTTTCAGTTTTAGTTGTATCCAATCGTTCAGAAGTGTCATGAAGTTGATCGCGTAAAGTTTGAACCTGAATAATAGTGATGAAGAAATATTATTACTTTCCTATTTTATTCAATTAATGCTTAGCATTGCCTGTAACCTTGAATAGAATTTATAAACTTTCCATTTCAATGCTTCGCATCAATTTAATTTTGTGTAATAGAATCTCCTCAATCTACATATAAATTAACATGGAACAGATTGAATATGGTCTTCCATATTCAATCTGGATTGATAAATGATAATGAGATTACGGTAATGGACTGTTTTTTGATGCCATTGAATCAATCGATAATTTTATTCATACCTGTGCTTCCAAATTACGTAATCGTGTTTCTTGGGACAAATCAGATGTTATTGACAGACTTGCCTACAAAACAAAAACCAACTGCACTTACTTTAGAAATTTCTGATAAATTTGCTAATGTCGCAAAATATGCTTTGTTATATTGAAGTGTTGATGGAAAGGACAAGACTGATGTTAGACATGATGGTTTCGTCATGATCTATAGAAATCCTTTTAGCGAACATATATGTAAATGGAAGGCGAACGAGATAAAAAAAAATAAAAATATGCTTTAAGATATTCGATAGAGAAATTCGAAACTGTTCTATTCAGTCTGCTGGAGTTAAATGAAGATGAGATTTCCTGGTTTAGAAGCTGCTGATAGATGGCACACTTAACATCTTTCATTCTCATACATCCTCTCGTTTATTCATTTTCTCTCACTCGTTCTCTGCCTTATACTGTCTGATTTGATTCATTCTATGCGCCATCTAACGCCCATTCCATCCTGCTATGTCAGCAATCAAGTCACAAATCAAGATGTAATGGATGGTAAGACAAGCTTCTATCATATCAGTGGAAAAAGAATAAATTATTTTTATTTTTTTGTTTATGAAAGGTAGCGAAAGCATTTGCATAAACAATTTGAAAGAGAAATTGAATGAAACGAATCATTTAAATGTCTTATGATGCATACATATGCTTCTCCTTCCTCTTTCTACAACAGAAAAAAATTGTGAAAGCATATGTGAAACATCTGGGAGAATTTTTCTGAGAGAAGCAAGAAGTGGAACTGATGAGAAATGAGAGAAAAAAAGTTAAATATTTTGAATTTGCTGGATGAGAATAATCAAAGACCATCTTAGGTCCCATCACACTTCAATACGACATTTTTGAATTAATATTTGTTTGAATTAAAGATTCCCTTAATACTTACGGATGTTTTACGAACATTCTGAATGTTTGCAGACGAAGCTGCCGATGAATTGGATGGATATCTGAAGATTTTGCTTTATTAATCTAATTAACTCTTTAAATTCACCTTATACGCCCGTCCGCTGCACGTTCTTTCAATTTTGTTACCGGACTGCGACGAACTGATGGTGAAAGTGATTCACGATGACTCCGTCGAAGGGTTCGAGCAGATCGACCAGAATTTAAAAGATTTAAACCATCAGAAGCATCTACTGAGGATTGCGAGGTGGTCCTGAAAATACGTTATGATAAATTATTTCAAATCACTTGCGCAATTCACGGGAAAATAACGCGGAGTTCCACGTTAATTTCCCGTGAATTGCGTATTTCGACGCAAAGTCATTGTTTTCAATTAGACGTTGCGTAGCGGCTGCATTCTCATTTTTTTCTTTTACTACAGGTTTTCAACACCCCTCCCCTTTTAATTTTTTTTTCAAAGTACCTATGGTGTTTGTTTCGGCTTCTTCGACGACGTTCCCGTTCTAGGACTCTGTCTTCATCTTCAGTGGATGATTCTTCGTCCATCATTGAGTTGGAATGGTGTGATTCGGGGGCAACGTACGCTATTCTTTTCTTTCTCTATAAACAATTGGTTACTATAACGAAGCTATAATATCTTTAACTATAGGCATTCCCAAGATATCAGAACTATCTGCTAAACTCATTGCATCGTTTGAAGCACATGTTTCTGCATAAGTAGGAGAGGGATTATGCCTGGAAATTAAATGATTGAAACTATACGAAAGCATGATTAACATACCGATTTTGTTGTAAAGCTGATATCCAGCTGTCCCTTATTCCAGGAGTCATGGCCGAAAGAACATACCTGGTTCTTCGACACTAAAAAAATGACCTTTTAACTAAAGCAATGGACTGGTCCACGAACCTTTATCTCAATACCATAGTTCTTCGCAGAAGCCGAAGGATACACATTCTCGCATTCAGAGAGGTCAATGGAGAATAAAGGTTCAGAAGAATCTTCCTCCCAAACATCTCTTTACAAATTAGTTACCATAGGTAAAATGAATTTAAAATTATGTTACTTGTATAGCTTGAGTGATAATCCTGCTAGAATTACCCAGTGTTTACTCCATTCATTATCGCTTTTTCCTCGAAGCATGAGCCATCCTTTGCGCAAAGTATGAGCCATGGAAGTATCAATATGGAATGGCTAGAACACATTGACGTATTGATTAGATATTTAAATGTATACCTGTCCGAAGTTCTTCTTTTCACTAGTCACTGTTGTTGTAGAAGTTGTTGGATCAACAGAGTCGTTTGAACACTTAGTGACAGGCGATGGAGATCTTTAAGGAATGCTATAGCCTTGAACAGAAATGTTTTGCTCACCGACAACGATTTTCCATCTTCAATGTTGAAGTTGAGGCGAGAGGAGTCGTAGCAGCGGAACTGCACGAGAATGAGTCATTTGAAGAAGTTTTTTTACCAAAGTCTTCTCTGAAAAAATTATTTGTTTCATAAAAAAAACGATTGGAAAAATTATTTACCTTGTATTTCGTCTTTGTTTGACGCTTCTTGGAGTTCCATGTAAATCTCGTGGTTCACGTTCCATTTCCAAGCGATCGATAGACGATGATCGAGAAGATGATGCTGTTGATGGTACTAGTTCAGCTTCTACTTCGGGTTCCGGCGATGTGATCTAAGTCAAGTAGAATGATTAAAATTCAGTTAAAACAAGAACAAACTTCATATTTTTCTTCCATTTGCTTACGAGGACGTACTTGAATCATATTTTGTTTCGCAAAAACATTCAAAACATTCTGCCACCTGAAGGAGATGTTTTCTTGGAGAAGTCGGAAATCTATTTTTACCATCTGATCTCTTCTGTTGTATCAGCTTTAACGTATACAATAGCTGGTTGATCAGTATGCTCCTCATGCTTGAAAGCCATCAAAATTGAATGAGCATTACCTAACAAATGTGTGTTGTTCATAACTTTTGACCATATTGCTTTCTCACCCGTAATAGAATCCGCTTCACACACCCGATGACAACGAGTCATATCAATTGTAAACTGAGGAACAGTCTCTGGCTGCAATAGAGGTATTTCTTCTATTTTTTTTAAATAAAACATTCATAATTTCATGCGAGTTATTGCACAAAAAGAGAGTGAGATAGAGAAAGCAAAAGAGAGAACAACCAGTTCTTTTCACTCAATTCTCTTCTCGTTTAATCAATAATTCAAAGAAAAAAAGATTTTTACATTATTATCCAGGGCATATGTCAACTCTCCAGAATCGAACAGCGTAAACCATCGTCTTTGCCATCTCTTTAATTTCAAAAATTGTTGATTTTCTTTTTTTTGTATGCGAAAGAGAGAAAGATTAATTAGTACCTTAGCTGTGTGTGATTGAAGAGAAAAATCTAAATTAGGAGGTGCCACATAGAGAAAACCACAAGCAGTCACCTTGCGATTCATCTGAAAACAAACAAATCAACGGAATATAATCATATAGTTAAATATATAAGATGTTGCTATCAATTTGATGATTATTAAAGTCTCCAATAAGGCCAACTGATCTGTTTCTTCTGAATCTCGTGTCGTCGTAGTTGACGGTCACAACATTTTCGCCTTTTTGGTTGATACAACATGAAGAGAGAGAGGCAAACTATGAGGACACAGAAGAGAAATGAATATGAAAAGAAAGAAAACCGCTTGCATGGATGCATTAGAGACGACACATATTAGAAGAGAAACGTAGAGGAGTAGAGAAAGAGGGAGAGAGAAAGAGAGAGAGAAAGAGAGAGGGAGATTATGGGTGGTCATCTGGTCGTCTGAATTGCAAGTCGATGAGAAGAAGAAAAAAAGAATGAAATCTGTAGAGAGAAACAGAAAAAGAGAAAAGCAGTTCTAAAGGTTTTCATGAAGAGAAAGCAGAACGTTCCTAGACTCGGAACAACATTGAATGATCTTTAAACTAGTAATGTGTTTGAAAGACATTTAAGCACAAAATGTTTTTTTTTGACCAAACAAAATAAATTATTTTCTAAAATAGGTCAATGAAGTTGAATGTTCTGCAGAGAGAGAGGGATGAGGAGGAAAAGCCTGCAGAGAGGCAGCGAGTGACAAGCTGAAGCAACAGAATGACATCTTCGAAGAATGTCCGGAAAAACCGGCAAGTGAAACAAAAGAAAAAGTGTGTGCAACAGCAAAAAAGGCTCAAAAGTATGTTTTTAACGGACAAGAAAAATATCTTTTTTATTATAAATTTTCAAATAAACTTTCCTCAAAATCAAACAAACAAAAAAAAGTTAAAACCGTATGATTTGAACATTCACGTATAATGCGAGCATAAAATCAATATTTTGGTCGTAAAGACTTCTTTTCATAAAAAAAAATAATTCAGAGCCATATAAATGTAAAATGAAGGGAGAAGAAGAGCAAATGAACAAAGGCGTGAAAGTGATTGACTGACGAACGCGAAGGAGGGTTTTCCTACATTTTGAAGGAGGGCGAGGACATACCTTTTAATGTAAAGGAACTTCAATTTCTCATAAAAATAACTTCAAATTCACTTAAATTCTCAGATTTCACAGGGAGATAGAAATAGAAAGAGAACGAGGAGAAGTACGCAAAAATTTGAATCAAGGGGAGGGTGCAAAATGCAAATTCATCATTTGACTGTTAAATCATACAGCTTTGGAAGACGAGGTTCTGAAGAAACTTCTGAATAGAAAAGAGATAAAAGCGAGAATCGGTCAAGTGATGACCACGAGGGAATAAAAGAGAGAGAGAGAGAAAAAGAATAAGAGAAAGATAGAGAGAGGGTGAGAGAGAAAGAGAGGAAGGGATCAACCGTTCAATACGTTCACTGTGCGAACAATGAATTCTAATCACCGACCGTAATATCACGTAAACTATCTTCCCCTTGAGAAATTAGCATACGAAATAGAAAATAAACAAAGTTTTCAATCGATAATTGATCAAATAATAAAAATAAAGAGCAACAGACAAACCTTCGCCATTTCCAGACATTCAGCACTGTGCTGTTCTTTCGATTTATAACAATTTTTACATTTTCCTTTATTAAAACAATTAGCTTCGAATCGATTACATTGAGAGACCATCTATAATGACAAAAAAATGTTTAAAAGAACACGAAAACGAACAAGAAGCGAAGAAGAAGAAGAAGAAGAAGAAAACAGTTCATTTGAGACCAAAAAAGGAAAGTAGTTATTGAGATTTATGCATTTGATGTCCTAATTTAATCCAAATAAGATTAATAGTAAAGATAACAAAAAAACGAACAAAAATCTTCATGTTTCAAGCTGTCAATTGCGAGAGGAAAGAAAAAAAAAGAAAAAAAAAGCAAAAATTCAAGTGAGTAAACAGTCATTTTCATCCATTTAGCCCAGGAAATCTGGATAGGCAGACGGATTTTCAATACAAATACATCAAGGTTATTCTAGGATTTGACACTTTCAGAATTAGAAATTTTTCTTTTTTTACATTTGTTTTTGGTATGTTTTTTGTGTTTCTGTCAGAATTAGTCATAGGAAACGAATGAAAACATGAGAAAAACAATAAAAAGTACTCGGGTGATAAGATAATCAAACTTTTTTCAAATAAAATGCGAATGATAAGAGATGAAAAAAACTTTTTTTCTATTTCTATCATTCTATATTATAAATAGTATAGTTAACAATGTAAGCTACACTATATCTTTAGAAATACAGATATTAGCTCTATATTTGAGCAACTTCAGGTTTTTCCTCAGAATATGATGGGCTGAATCCCATAGCGGCACGATGTTTACCATCTAATCAGACTCTTTCTCTCTCTCTCTCTCTCTCTCCCTCTCTCACTCTTCATCTCATATTTTCCCTCTTATCTTTCTCTTTCTCTCTCTTTCTTCTTAAGTTCTCAGAAAGTTCTTCAAGTTAAGTTGAATACAAAATAAAATTAATCTTTTAAGAAAGAAAGAAAAATGAAAAATTGATTCAACTACAGCTATAAGCCCAGTCAATATGATTTTTCTTAATTAAGGTGGCCGAAAGAGAGAGGAAACGGCAGGCATAATCCATATTTGGTGTCATAGAGACAACTCAAGGCTTATGTGACCTCTTCTGGAGGCCGATGAAGAGAGCGATTGCACAGAAGGAGTATGTGATGATAGAACGAGCATATAGAAAGCTTCAAGACATAATAAGCGAATATGGAGACAGAGAGAAACAAATCAAAACTAGAGGCTTATAAGGTTTGCCACGTCATTTTCCAAGTTGTTGAGGCTTATAATGACCGATTCGAGCACAGAGGTTTAGAGAGAAACAAAAAAAAAGGGCAAATGAAGAAAAGAGTATGACGTGTCAATTTTGAAGAGTTAAACAAGCTTAAGCTAGTTAAGAGTTTGTACGAAAATCTTTTTTTCACCGTTCCTGCAGTTGGTTTCTAATGACAAAAGCCATATGATGTCATAACGAATGAGAAATGAAACAAAAAAAATGAGAAAGAGAGTCGAAAGAATCAAACAGTTGAATAGAAGAAATGATGAAATGAATTATCTTGTAAAGAAAAAAAAGAATAAAAATGTTTTTTTTTCTGTCTTTCCATACAAGACAGCCTGTAAATGAAGTGGTGGTGGTGAAACATACAGATGCATCTGTGTGTCTGTGTGTGTGTGTGTTTTTGCAGAAGACAATTAATTGATAAAGAGACAACTTCTGTGTTATCTTTTATATTTCAAACTTATCACCTATTATTTAGAATAATTTTTAGCGAAAAACTAAGACGAGAGAAAGAATATTAATAACAATGGAAAAAGAACTGAAAAAAATATTTTTTTTACTCAAACACAATGATTCATAAGCTAGTTGTTAAAGCTTCAGATGATGCACAATTAAATCTGGAATTATGGTTGGAAGATCAGAAGGAATGCATACATTCCGTATCATCTTTACTTCACGTAAACAAGGGTGCAAAAGAAGCTATTTCATATTTAAAATTAGATAAATACAATTCGTTTATTAAATAATTCCAATGACAAAGAATAGAAACAACGAATGTCTTCCTCTCTCTCTCTCTCTCATATGATCGAAATATTCTTTTTTACTTTTTGTATGAATATCGTGATATTTGGAGTGAGATTTGAAATGAAAAACTGGCAATAACGATGTTCGGATAACTATTGAATTGGGATTTGTATTGGATGGCTAGTCTTAGCCTCTTGTTTATGCATTCAGTCAATATAGTATAAATTATGAACATATAGTTAGTGAATGATGATGATAATTATATTTTCTAACATCCGGTCACACAATTTCTTTTGTTGACCTCGAAACATCAATTATGCACAAGTTTCATAACTATTTTCATTTCAATAGATTAAGCAACCGTTCAATACGTATTGAAATTCATAAAATGGTCTCTTCACACGCATTTATCACGTACGTAGTAATCACGTGTGTAATATGCTAATGAACATGTTAAAGAATGTAGAAGAAATCAATTAAAGTTTGAAAATGATACAATGCTGAAGTTTCGATTATTTGGAAAGTTTGAAAGTATTTGTGAGAGAGAGAAAGACAGATAGATAGAGAGAGAGAGAGAGAGAGAATCGATATTTAAGGTAAGAACAAGGAACAGGCAATAAAAGGAAGTTTTCTTATAAAAAAAGAAGAATAAAATGATAAAAAAGAAATGAAAGTAACCGTTTTAAATGAAAAAATCTCTCGAATTAATGACCAAGTGATTGTTCATTTCCTTTTACAATGCAATTTAATGAAATTGGAAAATGGGTGAAAGGTTAAACTGTCTTTGAGATAAATATAGAATAGAAGGACGGAGGGATGAAGTAAAAGCTGAAGAAGCCGACAAAAAGACAACGACTACACTAAAGAATAAGCAAGAAAGACGAAGTCTATTTCTCTTCAATTTTCCTCATTCTCTCTTTGTATCTCACATTTAACCTTCTTCTTCTCTCTCTCTCTATCTTTTTCTTTTCTTGACCACACAGAGATTCTCTCAAAGTACACACTATTTTATAGAAGAAGCAATGGACTGTTTGCTCGAGCATTGGTCAAAAGTCCATTTCTTCAGCATATGCTTCTTCTTCTTTTTCTTTTTCTACACCACAAAGATTCATTTTTAATTAAAAAGACATCAGACGGAAGTCGTTAATAGAAACATTGAAATTTGAAAGAAAGAAGCCGTATTGATATGTTGTGATGTTAATTAAGTTGACAAGAAAAATAAAAACGTGAATGATTAAGTAGAACAAGCAGAACGTTCCTTTATTCCCACAGATTATTTTAAAAAGTTCACTAACACTCATTCATTGACTGATTCATCACCATCAGCAATCCGATATGATCCTCTCATCACAACGGATTTCATTTGAAACACGAAAGATGAAATGAAACATAGAGGTTTGTATATTTTAAAACAAAAAAAAACAATATTCAAATAACGTTCAAATGGTTATAAATGAGCTTTTCATTAGGCAGAAAGGAATATGTGAAGCAAAAATAATGAATGAAAGGCATTAAGAAATGGCACCTTGCGAGCCTTTGTTGATCTGTCGATGAAGAAAACGGATGGCATTAGGTCAACAGAAATCAACGACGGATTGTAATTGGCAAGGAATATGTATATTAAATATAAAAAAACGAGCTTTTATAATGAAAGAACAATATTGTTATCCTAGCAGATATCGTAATAAAATATATGTAAATTGCTATGAGAGCTCAGAATAAAATGACGGAATGGGGTCGAGAAAAACGGCGAAAAGAAGAAAAGAATCAGAAAAAGAATCAGAAGATAAATATACAAGGTTATCCTTATGAGCATATATATCGTCACATATCCGTTAAACTTCTCTCTTCATCTGTATCTTCCCTCTCTTTCTTATCATTTCTTGGTAATGTCACCGATTTTAAAGATTCTTATGTATATACAGATTAGATGCAATATGATACCTGCCACCTAGATGGTTTATCCTGATCCTCTTCTTCTCTAACATATTCAATTACTTCATGTACTCTCATACATACATTACGTTTAACATCTTACTTCCTCACACGAATGTGAGGATCCAAAAATTCACTTTGGAGGGTCTTATAAAGACCTCGTCCGCAAATATACGAATACTATATATGGCAACTAAAACCACAACCATATTTTTTGTCTCGTATGCCATATGAGTGCAAAAGATCCATTGGCATGATGCCATAAGGAACATGACCTACATAATCCACGAGATCTCAACCAACCACGTCACTACAACATTCGAATTCTTATTCCTTATGAGCAAACATAAGGATCCAAAAATTAAACTACGGGTCTTAAAAAGTCCCCGTTTTCTGCAGATACATGACAATTGGAGCAAAAATCTAAAATATTTCTTATTCGCCGTATACCTTTTAGGGTTACACTTACTAATGGGATGATTAAGATGGGATAATCAATAGAGTAAAATCTTATTTTACTAGCTTTATTTCTCACGTAGCACAGAGAAAATTTTTAAAAAGCAACTTCTTCCGGTTGAAATGATCTTCATGTGTGTTCAAGTGAAACAGAAACGCGTTATCTGACATGGAAATGAGTAGCTACGAACAATGACGCTATGATTTTTCATTTTTGAACTGAAATGGCTTTTGAGCGGTTGTTTTTTCGATCAGAATCAAAGTCTCATGGTAAGTACATTCTAAAATAGTATTTAAATAGATAAAACATGCAAAAATATTGAAAAAGATTATTTTTAAATCAAATTTCTTTAATCATCAACTTTAATTAGAAAAATAGATGATATAATTATTTACATATATAATAACACAGTTAAAATTCCACGGAGGGGCAATTATTTGACCGTCGTTCGCTTGGCGGACTATACTGCTCCAAGTAGAAGGTTGGCGTTGAAGGTACTGTGTTTGAGCGTCGTCGTATTTCTTGAAGAATTGGAAATTATGAATTTCGAAAATTTTCAAATGTTGATTACCATTGACGTTTATTGGAATATTATTTTGATGAAGACTTCTGTACAGATCGTCAATATTCACTCGGAATTGCATCTGAAGGACTCAAGTATAAACTCAAATAGTAGCTGATACATACCACAGATTTCGAACTGTCTTCCGAAGACCGATGATCTTCATACATACTCTGAATTTTTAGAGAATTGTTTTCAATCAAGACTGTTACTCACCGATTTCCGTTTGTTATTCATGAAGTTCTTACGCTGTGATTCCATATCGGCTTCTCTCTGGTCTATTGATGACGATATGGAGTTTGTGGGCTTCTTCAAAACAACAATTTGTTTATCCAAAGAAGGAGAACAAACATACCCGGTTGGATGAACTTAAAGTTCTTGTTCTTTCAGAGATGCTGTTACTAATTTTTCTTCGCAAGTCTCGTATGACTTCGCGGGTCTTTCTGAAAGACTCTCCCGATGCTTTGCGTGTTCGAAGCTGATTGAATTGAGAAACAGTTTCTTCCAGTTGTTTTTGTTTTTCCTGATAATATTGGTTATAAAATGGAATATTAAACTATCAACTAACCTCCTCCTTCTTCTTCTTCTGATACATATAATCTCTTCTCTTTTTGGAAATGATTATCCAACTAACTTTTGAAAGATACAAAGTTACTTCCATGACAGTGATCAAACTCATTCCCATGAACATACCCATATTACCACCAATTTCACCTTAGGAGTGACCATTTCATTTTTTTATTTTATGTATATCACTTACTAAGAGTTTCCGTCAATGACGTTGCTTGAACCTGTGTGTATTCTGTGTGACCCATTTCACGGAAGAAGACGTTAATCGTTAAAAAGTTGCTTCTGAAATCATTAATTGAAACAGTTTTTCTGATTTGCAAATAGTTTACTTAATATGCGGAATGGTCCAATCACGGTTTTTTGAACTGAGCCATTTCAAAGCGCCATTACTGAAACCGTGGCCATATGAGTTGAAGGCGTGATACACGGTTCTATCACATTCCATTTTACACTCGGAACATTTAGGCATTCGGTAATAATCAGTTCCTAGAAAAGGTTCTAGATATTGAGAATGAAGCATTGTTCGACAAACCGTTAACGCTCACTCGGACGAATTTATCAATACAAATACTCGTTTGATAAGGTGTACATAAAGGAAATGCTGGATTGGAAGAAATAGTTTCAAAAAAGAGGAAAGAAACATACAGTTATCAATGTTGAAAGTGAAAGGACTACATCCACACTTGTTATGGAAGAATTTTGCTTTACACAGAGACGCGCAATTGTCAGATGTGTAAGGCAGCTTTGTATCGTAGCCTAAAGGCCAATGATCTGTACAGTTACCCCAATGATCAGATGGCAACAGAACGTACTACAATGAATAAAATGAGAGTTATACAGACAAGAAGTTTACCTTCTCAGTTATAATGGCAGAATAAACTCGAACTGAAGGTGATACAGAAATACCTTCAGATGAGAAATATGGAATGGTATTGATAGGATGCACATAAAACCTATAGCCATTCTCATAGTTACTGTAGAAGATGGGTTCAGCTTCAAGTTCTGTAAGTCACTAAAATGATAGATTTGGAGAATACTATCAACCTTCAGTTCCATCAAATTGTTCTTCTAAATGAGTGTCGAGGATAATTTCTAAGCTGAAAGAGAGGTCAAAACAATGAACAATGTTCGAGATGTTTTCTTACCCAGCATTAACCCCAGAGGTTGTTTGCTTTTCGAGCCACTCTTGCCCCGAATCCTTAACGATAATTATTTATAACATAAACAAACAAAGTCAAAGTGAAAAATGAGGAAAAAATGGTTCAAACCTGTAGATTCAGAGTATAGCATTTGCCCATATTGGTTAATACCGGTGTCATATATTTACAACAATCGAACTGTCGACCACCAAAAGTACAAATTTTTACGATTTCTTCACATTCAAAGCTAAACTGTAGAACTTTGAAATGGTCATCAAGCATTTCTAACCCTGCATCCATATAGAATCCTTCTGTTGTGAAGTTTGGATGATTCTGCTGGTATAGATTGAGTTCACCATCTCCCAATTGGAGTTGAGCTCGATCAACATTACCATATAAGATTTGTACATCTTCATTGGTAAGCATTAGATAATCTAATAGAACATCTGAGAAATCTCCCGTTTTGTTCAATTCTACAATAGAAAAAGTACAAAAGCTTCACGAACATTCTACCTTTGATATAAGTTTTCTTGAGAGGATTGAAATTGCATACAGTTGTCATAGGAAAAGCTAAGCCGTTATCGTTCATTATGAACGAAACCTGAAAATCAATTGTTAAGGAGCAGGTTATTGGGTGAACTTACTTGAGATACTGTAGGAGTATTGAAATACATAATCAATAAGACAACAACTTGATAAATGAAGAAAGTAATGGAGAAGAGGCAACATGCCGCCCAGAATATCGTGGACCTCCCTTTACCATAGAATACACGTTTAGGGCCATGTAAGGTTGTATTGTCTGAAAGTCTGTTTGTTAGATTGTAGATATTAATAATTTTTGATAAATATATAAAATTTACCGGCGAAATGTTTTGTTTCTCTTCGCCAACTGCTGATTCCCTCAGTTTCATTGAGTTTTCGAAGTTTTGCAACCGGAACCTCCAGTATGATCTGCGAAGCTCTTTTCGTGAAGCGTTTACCGAAATTAGAAAAAGAATCGCTTGTATGAGGTCGTTCGCCACTATAACAAACAAAAGTATTGTTTCAAATGTAATTCAATGATGTACCTGAGAGGCTTACGAATACCGTTAGAATGCTCTTCCTCCTCACTAAAGGTGACAATGTTGGGCTTTTGCTGAAAAAGCCATAAATCATAGAAAAGCAATGAAACAAAACAGAGTATTTTGAAAAGGGATAAAAAAGAAACTTTCTTATCACGAAAGATAAGAATATTATTTTTTAAAAAATAAAATAATACCCTTGGTAGACTTTCAATGTCTAAGCTGACTTCAGGTGTGGGCCTTAACGCGTTTATGCAAAAGCTAGGGAAGAATGAGTATTATAAGGAGATTGATGATGTGGTACTTACGATGACTGTGGAGTATCCAAATAGTCAAAATGGGCTGGCGTTGTGGTGATTGGAGCCACACTCATTATTAAGGATAATGTAAATAATCTTCTAAATTCTCTGAAAACATGGATTACAGACATGTTTCAACTGTTGGCCACGATGAATGATCTTTGAAAGAGGAAAAAAACTTTTTTTTGATGATCAAATAAAATGTGAAAAGGATGTTTTGATATTTGAAATATATACTTAACTATATATAAATATATAAGTATATATTATATGTATAGTATATATATATATATATATATATATATATAAGAGGAATAAGGAATTGAAATGAGTTAAGAAGAGAGAGAGGAAGTGGAAGAGTCGAACAGGTAGAAGTAAATGGAGTTTGAATGTTATTGAGAACGAACCATATGGATAGATGGCCGTTTGGGGCGGAGGAGGTGAGGTCCAAAGAATGACAAAAAGATGAAAAAAAGAAAAGTTAAAGAAATAATAAAAAAACATCAAAATATATATTAAAAAGTCAATAAGAATCATTCTATTATTGAATATCAGCTATCGTTCTGAAGTTTCTAGACGATATCAATCCGATACAGTAGCTTTTTATCTGTAATAATGATGTAATTTATAATATATATTATATTATATGAATGTGTTAGAATACTCAGCTGCTTAATCTTCAAAATAGCTTTTTCGTAGAAAATGATAAAGAGATTACAAAAAACAGATGAATGATAAAGAGATAAAGACACTTGAAAAAGTAATTCGACAGCTTCTGATTATGTCTTTCATAACTTTCATCAAACGTTTGATGAATATTTACATTTTATCAGGTTCCTCCCTCTTAATGGCTCACGTCCACTCTCTCTCTCTCTCTCTCTCTATCTTTCTCTCTCTTTCTCTCTTTCTCTATGATTGGGCTCTTCTCATCTCTGACTGTGTCTTTTGAACTTCAGACGCCCACCTTTCACTCTTTCCCTTGCACAGTATAATTCTTTTAAACTTCTTTTTATTTTCTCTCAAAATATCTTTTTTTGATCACATTTTTTCATTCGTTTTCATATTTTTAAAGGAATGTGTGAGGTTGATGGAAACACTTACAGTTCACGTAAGTTTACGTGTTTGATTCAGATTTTGTTTGTAATTGTATTCACATTAGGAACGGCTGTATCCTTTACAATATAGTTGTCTGAATCTCTTATCTATATCATGTATCATAATGCTATCTCTACACTCTTCCTAATAATATATTTTATGTGTTTGAGCTATAAATTCTTGTAAAGAGAAGGATTACAGTTATGGCGATAACAGAAGCAATGGCTCATTGCTCAGTTTGATCGGTCAAATCTTCAAATTTTTCGAACATTTGGCCAATCTTTATTTCAATCATAGCAAATGATAAAGAGGAAACATCATTTGATGAGATTATGAGAGTACAAATACGAATTTCGATTTGTTGTGGACTTCCAAGTTCATCTCTCTGTTTATCTTTCTATTCTTTTCGTCACATCGTACCTCTTTATTATTATTTTTTACTTTCATATACTGTTCAACTGTAACATAGGGGGAGGGGAGGGGATGAAAGAGCTTAAGAGAGAGAGTGATCGCTGGAGGTAAAGAGGTATGGAAGAATAAGAATAAAAAATAACAAAAGAATAAGAATAATATATATATATGAAAATAAGAAATTAAGGAAGCCTTCATGAATGAAAGAAAATGAAATGAATGAATGAATGAGTGAGTGAGAAGTGATATGTGCGAACTGTATTCTAACCAAACAAACAAATAGCAAATTCTTTCTTCGTTATCATCCGAAATTTAAAATATTTTTTGTGTGAAAATCTAGATTATCTATAGCTATGATGATTAATTCATATAAAACTTAACAATTTATCATATAAAATATGAATGAATCAAATAGATTGAATGAGTTTCTTCCATTTCTCGAGCAGAGAATCAAGGTGTCAGGAGACCATTTATGACATCATTAAACTCTTTAGAGATACTGTACAAACGCAACAAATGAAGCATTCGAACAGTTGAAGATAATAGAAAGTTGTTTCAGTAATGAACAGAACACTGTTTGAAAACCTTTTTGCACAGGAAAAGTAAGAACTACACGATTCCAATCAGTACTAACCTTCCGAAGTTTCATAAAACCATTCCAAAGCTTCACGATAGCTCATACGATTTCATATATTCCATGATATCTACAGTAAGAACCATCTAGTACTACCTTTTATGTATTTTTTGTATTTTTCTGTTCATTGTCAGACAATCACATTTCATTGCAAAAATAGTAAATTAAGAAAACATTTACCCGATCATTCAAAGCATTATATATACATAAATACATTCATATATATATATATATATATATATATATATATAT